CTTCAGGTGCTTTGGAAAATAGCTTAATTCCCTCTTCTTTATGGCAGCCCCTGAGATATTGGAATACTGCTATCATGTCCCCCCTTGTCCTTCTCTTCGTTAAACTAGACATACCCAATTCTCGCAACCGTTCCTTATATGTTTTAGCCTCCAGTCCCCTAATCATCTTTGTTGCTCTTCTCTGTACTCTTTCTAGAGTCTCAACATCTTTTTTACATCGTGGTGACCAAAACTGGATGCAGTATTCCAAGTGTGGCCTTACCAAGGCATTGAAGAGTGGTATTAATACTTCACGTGATCTTGATTCTATCCCTCTGTTAATGCAGCCTAGCACTGTGTTGGCCTTTTTGGCAGCTGCAGCACACTGCTGGCTCATATTTAGGTGATTGTCTACTAGGACTCCGAGGTCCCTCTCACAGTTACTACTATTGAGCATGGTGCCACCTATGCTGTACTTGTGCATTTGGTTTTTCTTGCCTAAATGTAGAACCTTGCTTTTTTCACCATTGAATTTCATTTTGTTAGTTAGTGCCCAGTGTTCAAGTCTGTCCAGATCCTTCTGTACCTGAAGCCTGTCTTCTGGAGTGTTGGCTATTCCTGCCAGCTTGGTGTCATCTGCAAATTTGATGAGTTCCCCATCTATCCCTTCATCCAAATCGTTGATGAAGATGTTGAAGAGTACTGGGCCCAGAACAGAGCCCTGGGGCACCCCACTACACACTTCCCTCCATATAGATGCAGTTCCATTGAGGACCACTCGCTGAGTACGGCCGGTCAGCCAGCTACGGATCCATCTGGTGGTGGTTCTGTCTACCCCACATTTTTCTATCTTGTCAAGTAGTAGGTTGTGATCTACTTTATCAAATGCCTTACTGAAGTCCAAGTAAATTATGTCCACAGCATTCCTCTGATCCACTAATTTTGTCACTTGGTCAAAGAATGCAATAAGATTTGTCTGGCATGATCTATTTTTGACAAACCCATGTTGGCTTTTAGTAATGACTTTGTTTGCCTCTAGGTGTTCATTGATTCGTTGTTTGATTATCTTTTCCAGGATCTTCCCAGGTATTGAGGTCAGGCTGATAGGTCTGTAATTTCCTGGATCCATTTTTTTTTCCTTTTTTGAGGATGGGAACTACATCAGCTCTTTTCCAGTCCTCTGGTAGTTCCCCTGTGTTCCAGGATCTTTGAAAAATATAGTTCAGTGGCTCCGATATCACATCTGCCAGTTCCTTGAGAACTCTGGGGTGTAATCCATCTGGTCCTGGCGATTTGAACTCATCTAGGCTGGACAGGTGCTCACTAACCATTTTCTTGCCTATCTTAACTTGTGTTTCTGTTTTGTTTTTTATGGCACTATTTTTGATAGGTTGGTCTGTTTTTTCCCTTTGTGTAAAGACAGATGCAAAAAATGAGTTAAATAGTTCTGCTTTCTCCCTGTTGCTTGTCACCTTCTTGCCACTTCCACCCACTAATGGACCAATCATTCCCAAGCTTCTTGAGTTGTTTTCCCCTTGAGGATTCTCATCCATGGAATCCTTCCCAAGCCCTCTCTAAGTTTATTGAAATTAGCTCTCTTGAAGTCCAAGACTCTAGTTTGACTGTGTTCTATTGGTTGTGCTTCTATAATGTTGAATTCTAATATTGCATGATCACTTCCTCCCAGGGTTCCTATGGCTTCAACACCGTCTATCATTTCATCTCTGTTAGTGAGAATTAGATCCAAAATGGCTAATCCCCTAGTTCCCTTCTCTACTTTTTGGGAGACAAAGTTGTCTGCTAGGTTTGCCAGGAACCTGTTTGATCTTCCACTTGGTGCGGAGTTTGTCTCCCAGTTGATGTCAGGGTAGTTAAAGTCCCCCATTACTATTGTGGTGTGCTTCCTACATACTTTAGTTAGCTGACTAGCAAAAAGTTCATCTATTTCCTCTGTTTGGTTGGGTGGTCTGTAATATACACCTATGGCAATGTCATTCCCCCCCCCCTTTTATATTGACCCAAATGCATTCAAGAGAGTTTTTATCATTGTTGTACTCTATTTCTGTGGAGATGTAGTTATTTCTTATATAGAGAGCAACTCCACCTCCTCTTTTATTTGGTCTGTTTCTTTTAAATAATTTAAATCCCTCTAGCTGTGTGTTCCATGTGTGAGTTTCATCCCACCATGTTTCCGTAATGGCAACAATATCGTATCTGCCCTCGTTAACCTGAATTTCTAGTTCACCCTGTTTGCTGTTCATACTCTGTGCATTGGTGTATAAACATTTGAGTCCTTTGTGGGTGGCCCTGTGTTTCCTTTCTACATAACCTGTGTGGTGCCTGAGTTCCCCTATTGTCTTACCACCTATTTGGTTAGTGCACTTTATGTGGCACTCGCTATTAGAGGCTTCATTTTGATTGGTAGCAAGGTTGGTATTCTTGTCCACACACATATCTATGCTACATGCACTGATAGCCCTATAGTTTTTAAATTGCCGGGGACAGGGTTGTTCCGTATCAATATAAGAAAAATAACTTTTTAACTGAAAAAAAAACTGAAAAAAGAAATAACTGCTGACATTTAGTGGAGAATCAGAGAATAGAACATTAACAATAAGGACTCAGAAATTGGCAGAATGCCTAGAAACAAAGAAAAAGCTGCTCCTTTGAATTGCAAATAACCTTGAAGACGGCTGAGAACAAAGGAAGAGCCAGCTATAAGATTAAAAAGTGTGTGAAAAAAAAATTGTGTTTTGGATTGTTGCTTAAATCTAAGAACAGTTTATGAAAAAAGAAAAACCTTGCCTTTTTGGCTAATCTTTTAGAGGAGAATCTACAGGAAGGATTTAAAGAGGCCTAACACACTGAACTGTAATTTTGACTGACTGATAGATTGACTTTTTAATGAATGATGAAAGATTATTTGAAGGGGGGAGACAACATGGATATTACATACATATCAAAAAATAACAGGATGCCACATTCAATATTTTCTCCTGAAGGATTTAGCTTGGAAAATCAAGGGCCTCCAGAAGCAATACTTCAAGGTAAGATAAATACTTTCCAGGATGAAATATATGTAATGTTAGGACAAATACAAATGACATTAGACTCAAACCACGAGTAAATTCAAAATAACTTTGATGATTTAAATAAGCATATTTCCAATTAAATCTACAATTAAAAAACACCCAGGAAATAACAACAAATGAACAAATAAATCAGACAGCAAACTACAAATTAGAAGAGTATGATCAAATTGATGAAATAACAAAAGAAAAGAATTACAATTTGACACAAATAGGAAAAAATCTACAAGGTTCTGATACAAGAAAAATAGATTGGACTATAGAATTATCAGGACAAACAACCATCAAAGTTTGGGAGACAGAAAGTATTCATCTTACTTACTTCATCTTTTGTATTCCCAACATTTGTAAAAATACAGGAACTGCTGGGTAAGCGGATTACATCAACTTGGAAAATTACTCGGCAAAAGAAGAAGACCAGAGACACACACAAGAGATTTGACTCGCCCTACCAGATGGACTATTATATGAATAAATATTTATTTGAATATGGCTAAAATAACAGAGAATTTTGAACATAAAGGGGCCTTATTAACAAGAAGGATAAGAGATTTAAGTAATATAGTATGCTTTATAATATATGAAATGTTAAAATATCAGGTTGATGTAACTTTTATTAATATAAGTGAAATATAAACTGATTAAAAAGGATGTTATATCTAGATACTATAAGATAGATAAAAAGTATAATATTTTTATAATGCATGCCATATAATTTGGACAGTTAAATGTCTAATATGAAGAAATTGACTGATAAGAATTGGATTGAATATAAGGGAATTTAAGCAAACAAAATTATAAAAATAGAATGCATGCTGAACTAATGAGATGATGGTTATGAGAATAATATAAGCTGAAAAAAATGTTATATAGAGAGATAATTATTATTTGTATAAATATAAAAAATGCCTATATCTAATCATTTATATATTGAAAATGTTAAGAATTATATTTTGGCTAAGGTTGAAGAAGGAAAATACAAATGGCAGAAGGGAAGATCAAAGAAATATATCATTAATTAATATATTAATTATGGAATTATCAAATTTAATTTGTATTGATTGTTAATTAATTATTATTGTCCTTTTTTTGTTAAAATATAAAAAGTCAACACACTGTACACCAGGCACTGGAGATTGTTATAGTTAAAAACCAATAAAATATTATATAAAAAAGAATCTTCCTCATTTGAGAAGGTGCCTGACGCCAAAGTTTTAAATATGCATTCTGTTTGTTGCTTCTCTATTTATTTCCTCTTTACTTTTAGTTTTTTTAAATTCTTGTTTTGTTTCCTGTGGGTTTGAATTGTAAAACGTGAGATATATTAACGTTTTCCAACGGGTAATCTCTATTCATTGTAGGATAGCAGTTGAAGAAATGTTGAAATATGCACTTTTAATTCAGACATACAGACATGTATGCATATATCTACACACATATAAATTCACACATACTATGAATTCTTAAAAAATTGGTAGTGTGGAACTTTAAATGTTGGGCACTAGAGGGAAGCAGAAGGAACCAAATAATACAATTAAGGAGAAATTTGACTTACTAATGCAGAACATCATAGTGGAACACTGGACATATTGAAAGATATTTGTGAATAGTGGACTTAGAAGTTAATTTTAAGAGTGCTTACCACTATAGATGATTATGTTTAAAAGATGTTATGGAAAACGAATAGGTTTTACCAGATAAGACTGTGACTGATCTGAATGTGGGTTTAAAAATGACAGGGTACCAGAATGACATAGAAAAAGATGCTACACTGGACATATAAATGGACATACATATCACTTTTGGCTCAAGGTCTAAGCACCTAAAAAAAAAGCAGTGGTGGGAGGAGAACAGATATGTTCAAACATTATTTGTTTATATTTACATATTTATAATATGTATACATCCCCGCACATTTATTGATGACCTTACCTCCTCCTTGGGAGACAGGAAGGGATAGCCTACTTTACAAGTGATGTTATGCCCTGTATCACAGCTGTCTTTTGGTATTTTCTGTTTATAAAATGATAAGAAATCAATTATTTAAAAATAGTGATAACAAAAAAAAAAAAAAAAAAAAACAGAGCAACACATACCCCAAAACATATTTGCACATTAATCCCATCATTTCTGGACCATATAGTCCCAAACTTTGTGAACCAGAACTGAATAATTTATCTCCCTGTGCAGCTTCATGCCAGAGCAGGAACTGAAATTCCTATCATGTAGGGTCTAGTCAAGCTCTATCTACTAATCCACCTTGCTCTGTCCTCTGTCTTCCCCAAATTCCCACAATTTCTTAAAGTGCTATTTATTTTGGAAACTTTCATCAACACTAATGAGAGCTTCCTTACTGGAAGAGTAACAACTGGGGATGATTTTAATTAGGACTCAAGAGTTCAGGAAAAGTTTGAAGGTCTCTCTCCATCTGCCATGGCCCTGATAGGGATTTATTCCTCATGTTCCTTATTCTTAAATAGAAATACAAATATTCACACATTTAACATGCAGGTCTTGATTAACTTAATCACTGTAAGGCATTTGATGCAGTTTTAAAGAAAATAAAATCCTTCATGAGATTCAATGCAGTTTTATACATAGTAGAGGCAGGCACATTTCCCCCTGAAAAGTGTGCAGAAAGTAACAAAAAAGTGGGAGAGAAAATTAAATTGTATTAATTAAATGCAACTGACAGGATATCTCTCTATGTATTGCATTCTATGGTCTCCCCCTTCTGTAACATTAAACTACGAGAAGCTATGTGGATTCAAATTCAAGGCTTTCTGGCTACCTATATCTGCTTCATATATCTGCTCAGAATTCGGTGTCACTGGATTAAATAAATTTGCTGGCATGCATAGAACTGTGGCTTCAATCAATTATTTTTTTAATCAACATTTTCGTCTCATGATAATGGTTACCAAACTTTGAAATCTCCACAGGATTGTTTGCAAAGAAACAATATATTGTCACATTTTGTATGTATAGTATTATATTCATAGAATGGTTATTTTGTGGAAAAAAATAAGAGACTGTCTCCCATATGCCTCCTGGGGCTTCCTGAGAAAGTATGTGGTATAACTATATAATATTTATATAAAAGTCAGTGTAAATCTGGAATGCAGGAAAATCAATTATGGACACCCCAGGAACTAATCCTAATTTTTCTAAAGCTATCCTAAGCAAATGAGTTTTACATTACTTTTCTCCCCTCCCAGCAAGATGATAATTTATAAATATCTACCTCAATTCCAGAAAAAATAATATTTGGAGAATGTTGCACATAGACTCTCGTATTGTAAGCACTATCTTTTTTATTTCTGACCAACATTTGGACCCAGAATTTCAAATTATTCAATTTGATGATGAATGGAGATAAACTGAAAAATGTAAAAAAAGATAAAGATAGCAGATCATAAACAAATGTAAAACAGCTCTGGATTTTTATGTCTTAAACTATATCTTTTATTAAGTCAGCAGTATATAAGAAAGTGGGGAAACCCCCCCCCCAGAAAATTAGCTGGATTTTTTTTTTACATATAATTGGAGCCTTAAAATAGATTGATATAAAATCAATTTACTGTTAGAAATGGGATACATTTTATTACTTAATCATTTTAGAATTAAAAAAAGAAAAAGGTAAGCCTGACATTATTGCTGCTATTATAATATGAAGGAAGAATCCAATATTAACACAGGTATGGACTATTGCTAAAAGCAACAGCCTAATATTTGAACTTTCTTCCAAGTAATTTTTAGTTTTGCAAAATAACTGTGATGTGACGTCACACACTATGATTTTTCCCTTTTCCTACAAACACTCAACCATAAATGAAGTAGGGAAATTTGCAGTGCCATGGTTGGCTCCCATTCCCCCGCCGCCAGAAGAGATGACAAGTGGATGACAAGTGAAATGTTTTCTTCTTCCTCCTCAAGGAAAAAAAACAATACAGTTGCCTTTTGAAGAAAAAAAAGCACCTTTGAGACAATTATGACCTGGATGACTGAGAATCTTCACAGATAGTTGGCTCCCATGTAACTTCTCAAGATTATGCCTAGTTAACCCATGCCTTGCAGATCACATGTGTAACTCTCAACTGTTCTATGTGACTACACAGTTCTTAGGGCTACTGCTGCCCATTCCTGGTCACAACCCAGATATCAGGGAGCACCTAAGTATGAATACTTCTGTCCTATTCAGTTTGGCTGAATTTACCTTTTCCCAAACATAAATCATGTTTATTTATTTAATCACATTTGTATAGCTGCCCATCTCAATGACTCTGGATGGCGTACATTGTAATAATCAAGAATATACAGAGACCACTAAGACAACCAATTTAAAATAAAATTAAAAAACAAGATTAAAAAAATCGTGCGTCAGAAAAAAGTCATAAGTACTGTTTTGTACTCTCCTTATGCTCTTTTATTATGTGAACACTGATTGCAAGTAACAGGGAAATGTATTTTGTACATATTTCTGATATGTACATTTTAAAGCAATTATTTTAAATGAATTGCTTTGCCATATTCTGAGAGACACAAATTTTGGCATGCATCTGCAATCCATTAGTGGCTCAAATATGAAAATTATGAATGGAATGATGGGATGGGAGGGAACATAACCTCCCTAATGTCACAAGGTTGCTAATTACATCCACAGAAGTACTATTGGAGAGAGGAGAATTTTTATCTTTTCCCAAGAGAGCCTAATGTAACTGAGATAACTGGAAGGAATTCTTTAATATTGCCCCACTAATGACCCCATATTTAGATCCATGAAATTATATGTTATCTAAAGCAATTCCATATTTCAAAAATGGGTGTTCCTGCTACAACTGTCTGGCTTTCTCAATGATAGCATGGAGAACTCTTAATTTTGCATGCATCCCCATATGGAGATCTCTAGATAAGATTTTGCTTATGTTCAGCTTTTGTTCTATCTTCTGACTCTTCTAAAATAGGAATATGGTCCCCTCCAGCCTTCACTGCATAATTCTTGAAAGTTTAAGAGCTGCAAATAATGGTAAGGAGGACTAAAGCTCCAAGTGACAGAATAACTGAATAATAGTTGGAAGGGAGGTCTTCTAATCCAAACCCCTACTCAGACAGGAAACCCTATACCATTTCAGACAAATCATTGTCCAATCTCTTGTTAAAAACTTCCAGTGTTGGAGCATCCACAATTTCTGGAGGCAAGTCATTCCACTGATTAATTGTTCTGTCAGGAAATTTCTCCTTAGTTCTAGGTTGCATATCTCCTTGATTAGTTTCCATCCATTGCTTCTTGTCCTGCCTTCAGGTGCTTTAGAGCAGAGCTTTTCAACCTTTTCACAGATTGTACCATTTTTAGGACATGACAATATTTGAGTACCACCAGTGCTTAGCAAAGTGTCAAAAACTTGATGACTAAAAAAAAGGAGGGGATTTTGGGTTTTACTGAGTAGATTCATTTGTTGTTATAGAAATGGTTAGTTTATAATATTATGGAAAAGTAAAAAGTTGAGGTTCAATGTTAATGCTTCCTTCTACTGCAACAGAGGAAGTCTGTTCTTTTTCCCTTCTCCCCCTCACTTCCCCCCCTTTTTCTTCCCCAATGCATCCTACTATTTGCTTTTGTATTTTTGTATTTTATTCTATAATCTAATAAAATATTACAAACTGTAGAAAAAAAGGAAAAAAGTACCAGTTTTAATTGTTCAGTGGCTGTTCCTTTGCTGAATCACTTTCCCTTTGTATTGACAAATGTATGTGAATTTATCCATGTTTATTAATATGCACCACTACCAGCTAGCCCAAGGATCTTCAAACTTGGCACTTTTAAGACTTGTGGACTTCAACTCCCAGAATTCCTCAGCCATCATGGCTGGTTGAGGAATTCTGGGAGTTGAAGCCCGCAGATTTAAAGTTGCTAAGTTTGTAGACCCTTGAGCTAGCTGGTTGGTCCTTCTTCCTCTCTCCCTTCTGAGCTTTTTCCACAGTGTAGTAAAAATGCACCTCCTCAGATCCCTTCCCTGTACCCTTAAAGACACAGGAATCAAGTGCAAAGCAAAAAAGGCTCACAAAGTAAAGAAACACATAAACTCCTGGGTTTTTTTCTTTAAGCTGCCTCAGGCGTGTCACGTGTCACAATGTTGCAATAGAGACTGAAAGGCTCCGGCAAGTGTGAAAAGCTTTAGCTTTAAATTAAGCCTGTTTACTTTCTAAAAGCCATAGACAGACTCAATTAAAGGGGGTAAAACTAATTACATTTGTTTAAAGGGATTAAACCTTTCCCTGTTGTCTTTTTTCCCCTTTCCTGCCCAAACCACCTCCTTTTATAGCCTCTCTTCTCCTCCCTCCCTTTTCTTTAGTTCACTTCCAGTTCCGAGCTGCTTCTGGAAGCGCCAATCAGCTGGAGCCCTGCCGGCTCCTGGGGCTTCTGCCAAGGCCAGGCAGTCCTGCAGCTGCAGCTGCCTCTCCCTCAGGCTTGGCTCGCTTTGGGTTATTCCCCTCCCCCGCTACACTTCTCTAGGATGGTCACATATCACCTGCCATGTGGCAGGTGATATGTACCACCGGTTGAAAAGCCCTGCTTTAGAGAATAGGTTGACTTCCTCTTCTTTGTGGTAGCCCCTTAGATATTGGAATACGGCTATCATGTTACTTATAGTCCTTCTTTTCATTTAACTAGACATATACAATTCCTGCAAACGTTCTTTATATGTTTTAGTTTCCAGTCTTCTAATGACCTTGCAAGAGTACATAGCCTGCATGATTTGTGTCATCCCAACTGTTTCGTCCCCCCCCCTCTCTTCCCTTCTCACCCCCCCCCCCATTTCTTTTGGAGACTCAGAGTGCTCATATGAGTTATCACATGATAAGGGAAAAGGCGGACAGTGTAAGGGGCTCCTATTTTGGGCAACCACCAAGCAATTTCCATAATGTCTACTTTAGTCTACTTTAGAGTTTCAATAATTTTTATGGATAATGATTTATTATTATTTTTATTTCTATTTTTGTTATATTTAACTCTTTAAATCATATTTTAAAAGAACATTATATTAGAAAATAGAGAAAGGCAGAGAGGGATAGAGATAGAATTTATGTTTCATTTGACTTACCTGTTTCCTCCTATAGTTGCGTTAGCAGTCAGATGTAGATCTGTGATACATTTGTTCTTGTTTCCACAGTCTTTTGTGAAATGGATCTACAAAGAATTATTGATCAGCAATAAAATGATTACACATCCAATCTCATTTCTCCTTTCCCCCTGGTCTTTGTCCTGAGTTCTGGAAAGTCCTGCCTAGTTTTTAATAGTGTCATCATATTTACAGAAGAGCTGGGCTCCAATATTTCCATAAAGTATCTAACAGGAAGCCCAAGCTATGTATACATGCCTGCATAGCTATACCCATCAACAATATGCTGAGGAAGAATGTGGCTAAAATGTCTTTATCTTCCCCTGTCACAGAAAGATACTGTGTTAAAGAATGGAGAAAACAAATAGAAATGTATAATTATAGAATAGGCACATGGCCATGTTCAATCAAGCTTATAATAGCTGCATGTGTTATTTTACCAAGGGCAGGACCCAACTTGACAGGACCCAAGGACAGGACCCAATTTATTTCTTCATTTTGGGAAAATGTAAGTGATCTCTCTAATCTGGCCTTATGTTTGAATGTTGCATTTCTGTTATGGCCCTTCTCACCTTTGGAACAAGTTGACTTAAAGGGAAGACAGAAATGAGTAGGGGCAGATGGAGTGAGTCAACTCACATGTAGAGGATCAAATTTCATATATAACACTATACTGTAACACAAAATTTAAACATTTCCACTTTGTAGTGACTTACATATTCAACTACTGAATTGGGCAGCTCACTATCAAGGATTGGCCCACTCTCTGGATCAGAAAAATTAAACTCCAGCAAAACCTTTATTGGGTCACGAAAGTCAGGTTTGCCCTGGAAAAAAAATCCGAAGCAAATCAACCATTAGAATTCGCTCTTTCTTCAAGAACAAGAAACTGTTTGTATTAGAAACTGACAATCTGAATCTATACATTTAATAAGTCTCCATTCTAAGCAGGATTCCTCCTTACTTTTCATATAAATACAGGTTGCTATATGAAGGAAGGGGACCCCATCTAGTCTATAATTTAAAATTGCATAAATATGAAGCTACAAAAAGAAAAGAAAGAAAAAGAAATATATGTTTACAACAATGAAATCTATCTCACACCGAAAATTATCTAGCAAGCATGAGACATGCCCTTGACAGTTGCATGCTGTTGCTAGGCATTCTTGGTTGTCAAACACAATAGATTTTAAAGATCTAGTTCCTGAAAATTGGCATAGAACAAAGTTTTCCATTTTGGCCTGAGCCAAGGATGTCTAGAAAGCATGGTAAATGATTGCCTGCTACTACCTCCTCAAAATGTTAAAAAAAAGAGCAACTAATGCAAGGTAAAAGTTCCAACTGAGGAGCTTCTTCATCATCTTTGGCAGGTGAAGGTCAAAGATCCTGCTGCGCTGCTGGGGGGCACTGGGAAGTCAGGGACAGTGAGGGCAAACCATATGAAAAGCAAAGTGGTCATAGCATGGATGAAAGTTGATTTGGATGCAGAGGTTTGGGTACTATCATGGAAAGCCCCTCTGGATGGTATGAGATCTACTGTCTGGATGGAAGAAAATAAGCCAACTAGCTAATTTTTCATATTAGGAGGTTAGCACCCAAACAAGATTACGTTTTTTCTTGCAAGTTATAAGCTTCACTAAAAATTCATGCTTTCAGTCTAATTCAGGTCTAATTCATGCCCATAATTAGCTAACAAGCATTAAAAAGAATGATGATAATGATATTGATGACAACAGTGACAGCAGAAGGAATTGTCTAGACCAGCGGTTCTCAACCTATGGGTCGTGACCCCATTTGGGGTTGATCGACCATTTTACGGGGGCCGCCAAACAATGCGATCCGCCATTTCCCCCCCTCAGGGGGCGCCACCGCGCATGCGCGCCGCACATGGGGGTGCCGCCACGCATGTGCGCTGCACACCGGGGCGCCGCGCATGCGCACCGCACATGGGGGCGTCGCGCATGCGCACCGCTCATGGGGCGTCGCACATGCACACCGCGCGTGGGGGCGCCGCGCATGCGCACCGCGCGTGGGGGCGCCACGCATGTGCACCGCGCGTGGGGGCACCACGCATGCACACCGCACATGGGGGCGGCACCACGCATGCGCGCGGCACCACGCATGCGCGGCACGTTCGTATGACTGGGGTCGCCGTCACACAAACGTTGAGAAACGCTGGTCTAGACCTCAGTGCTTAATAAAAATTAAGATATTTCCTTTCCAAATTTTTATTTGTAACTAACGAGATATTGCTGTGTCTTGTAAATAGGCTTGGTAAAGACTTTACCTGGAACCACAAACATTTATGCAAACACAAAATCACATGTGTTAATTTTCTGTGTTGGCAATGGCCTTTCCTTAAATACAGGTCTATTCAATTATTCTTTAATTGCATCTATTTTAAGGGGGAAGTTATTTGCAGTAGGAAATGAGTGCAAAAAACTGTGTGTTGGGTAAATATAGATTCCCTTAAATCAAGCTCAAACTCTTTGGGACATATAGAAGTAGTCCTCAACTTACAACAGTTCATTTAGTGACCATTCAAAGTTACAACAGAACTGAAAAAAGTGAATTATGACCATTTTTCACACTTATGACCATTGCAGTATACCCAGGGTCATGTGATCAAAATTCAGACTCTTGGCAACTGACTCATATTTATAATTTTTGCAGTGTCACTGGGTCATGTGATCTTCTGTGAGCTTCTGATAAGCATAGTCAATGGGGAAGTCAGATTCACTTAACAGCTGTGTTACTAACTTTACAACTGCAGAATTCATTTAATAACATGGCAAAAAAGGTCGTGAAATGGGACAAAATTCACTACAAATGTCTCACTTAACAACAGAAATTTTGTGCTCAATTGTGATCATAAATTGAGGGTTATGTATGTTGCTTTCTTGGCAAAATATGGAAGTGTTCATGATTTTTTTCCAGGAATGTTAGGAATGCTACCTATTTCCTAGTGATTTCGATGGAGGATGTTGTTTGGTTTTTTTACAAGACTAACCATGTTTAGCTAAGTGTTGCCACCCTTATAGGCAGTGGTGGGATTCAAATATGTGAACAACCGGTTCTCTGTGTGGATGCTGCATCTGGAAGTCCATTCTGGGCCTGGGCAACAAAAAATTAGCTACCAGTTCTGCTGAAGTGGTGCGAACTGGCTGAATCCCACCACTGTTTATAGGTAAATATGTGGGAAGTACACAATAAGTTGGGATAGAGGACATGGCCAGACACAAATCATCCATTTGTCATAACTCAGCTCCTCAAGTTGTGGTGTACCATCTCAACATGTGACATATTTGCAAAGTTCTGAGCTTCAGCCATCCACTATATTTAATCTTCTAGAAATGCATATGGAAAATGGAAAAAAATGCATATGGAAAATGGAAAAAGAAAGATGGGGAAGAGATTCAGGTGATTATATATATTTAAACTGTATATTTTAAAGGTATTTTCTCCATGTAAATATCAGTATGCTGCTAATCAGTCTGTGATAATGGAAGTGCATATACAAGAGTTTACTATGCCATTCTGAACTTAATAGTGAGAACATAGTGAGTTACAAGGCTATTGTCCCCAATGAGATCAATATTAACTTCCTATAGTAGACCAATACAATAGAAACAAGCTATTTAAAATTGTTTAATAATGAGATAAAGGCAATTATAGCAATAAACAAAAGAGACAGCTACTTTATATGATTTACTTGCCAACATGTAGAAGTTGTGCTTAATACATTCTGAACCTCTAACTGTGATGTTTTTTTGAATCTTCCGTTCATTTGTTTCAGCAAAAAGTGTTCGAGACACCTTTCTTTGTGAATCAAGTGTAAGCCAGTACTGTATATCTAGGAACAAAAATAAGAGCAATTAATTCCATATGTAAAACTTTTCTAAAGTAGCTCTATATGAAAGCTCCTCATCTGTTTCCCTTCATTAGTTCTATCACTTTTAAAGACTGTATTAATACAATGTGAGGGTATCAACTATAATATGTGTAGCTTAGAGTTGTCATGTTGCATTGCTGGAATTCTGTTAGTTAGGCTTTGGGGTTGAAGATCTTTACATTGCTTGATCATGTAGTTTTCTTGATAGTTGCATGGAAACAACTTTCTAGTTCCTGCTCCGCTCCAGGATATGTTTCAATTCTTTCAGTTTAACTTTCTGAAGGTCTTCCCTCAGTCCTAACCAGACCTGATGCTACTTAGCTTCCAAATCTAGATAAGTCAAGGCTGCTATCTGCTGAGGCAGACCAGTTCAGTAAAACTAAAGGCAATGGGCCAAAAGTTTAACAAAGGATATACATTTCCTATTCTACCATTTGTGCAAAAATATTCGTTGTCCATGGATAGAATGTGTATCTAATTGTGAGACAATAGGAGGTTGCTCACATACACTGAAACAATTATTTATTCTCCTCTTAAATAGAGTTTAGTCTCCATTTCATTCTCAATTCTAGGATAAACCTCTGAAGATCATCATTACTGTTTTTTTCTAGCATTCTATATACTGCATAATCATCTAAATAAATAGCTATGGTTATCCTTTGAATCCTGACTACTGTTGTGAAGGTCCAGGGAATTTGAAAAGGGAAAACTTTAATTGCTGGCAATGGGGAAAAAGTCGCGACACATCACGTGATGTCGCGAGTTTGACATGCCTGCTTTAGGTCATTTGAATTGGTTATTTGTTCCCTTTTTTCCTCATTAGTAAAGTTCTAAGTAATGTGATCTCTCAATCCCTACTTCAACTTCTAGCCAGTATGAAATACAATATTATAGAACCATTTAAAAACTTCAGTTCTGTTTTATTTTTATGCAACAAAGGTATGCCCAAAGTGATGGCCTAGTATTTAAATCTTTCTGCAGACTACCAAAGAACCGTTCAGAAGTCAATGTTTTTTTTTATTACTGCTGTGGTTTGAACAATAAACACAGAGGTATCTCAGGAAAGGGGTCAAAACAGTCAAGATAACAGCTTTTTTGGGGGGGGAATGTGTGTTATATGCATGACACACATAAAAAGAAAAGGCATGGAGATTAGTGGTCACCATCTTGATATTTGACACCTCCTCCTCCCAGCAGAAGTTTCTGGTAGAAAACATCTGTGCAGAGTTCAGAAATCTGGATATCCACCTACCTGTTTCATTAATTGTGATGTCTTTTGACTTTAATCTGACTTCAAAACAAATTGTGGAGTTAATATACACTTTTTGTTTTTGCATGTCACCGCTTAGCTTCTGAATATCAATTTTGTTCGGCATGAATTTCATGGAAGGATTTACTTGGGCAACATCTCGAGACCTAAAACCATTCAAGAAAACAATTAAGGAATATTACAATATGTTCAGCATGTTATAATATTTATAATATTTAGTGGCATGAGTGCTTCCTCTGAGCTGAATATAAGAACTGGCTGACAGTATGCTGAGGGCAAACTAGAAATAAAAATAATGATAAATCATTATCCATAAAAAATTATTGAAACTCTAAAATAGACTAAAGTAGATATTATGGAAATTGCTTCAGTAACTTTCTAACACTTTCATGAATGGAAGGGGGGGGTCCTATGCTTGTGTAAAGCCCCAAACATTTTAAATACTATTAGACAGTCCTAATATTATTATGAACTTGATTTCCTCTCTCTACTTAACATTATTTTCCAATGTTTCTAAAAAAAAGAGTCTATTTTTGTGTCTACACTGACATATTTTTGCTCAAGATATCAGCCTGGCCACACAGTCATGCTATTTTCCTAGATTCTGCATTCCAGTTTTCAAGGGTCATTTTAATTCAATTACTCAACATTTTATGCAAAGCACAATAAGCTGTATTAGAGTTCTCAGTTACTTCTGAAAATCATGCCAAGTTCTCCAACCATGCCAGTACCTCCAACCCTTCCTTAAGAATCGATATTATTCCCTCAGTTTCATTCACATATGACAAAGAATTTAATTAGGGAATACAACTGATATATTACTGATAACAAAGTTGAATTTTAAACTTACATTTGAATACACCTACCAGAAAAGGGCTGCTCCTCCTAAGCCTCCAATAGTGACATCTGTAAGTCCATCTCCATTTAAGTCCATTTCACCATGTATTGACTGTCCAAAAAACTTCATTTTTTCCCCATCTCCACCAGAAGCAATTCGCTTTGAAGAAGCAGTTTTATTATATCCAACGAGAAAATATATGTAAGCAAATTACAAATAGATAATTGTTTGTGATTCCAGATCTTGCTCCTTTATAACTCTCCCAAATCCCTACTATTGCAGAAAATATGTAATGTTGAATAAACAATGACATTTATGTAGGAATGATGTCCTGCCTAAATAACAGAAGGATAGCTGGATGATACTTCTTCATGGGATTTAGAAAGGAAGGTGGTGAGTGCTTTAGATTCTTCTTGAATGCCAAAGATTGATGAAAGATTTTGAACAGCAAGAAGAAGTAATATAAAGTTGGACTATTTGATCAAGAATAAAGTATTTGTTTGATATTTGTAATAATTCCTAATGGACTGAAAAGTGATAATTTGTGGATTGTGCATGAATTAAAAAAAACTATGGGAAAAAGATCTTTTTACTTGTAATTTTACAAGAGGGTGAAAATTAATATATTAGCATATACTCAGGTTGATAAAGGGTAGAAGTCAGTTTTTTATTATTGTCTTTGTTTCTTTTTTCTTTCACTGTTTTTTCTACTTTTTCCATGTTTCCTTGCACTTTCTGAACTTTTCTTTTAATTTTTTCTTGTTTAGTTTGTATTAGTTTGTATTATGTTTACTAAAACCTTCAATAAAATTATTTTTAAAAAATCCCTGGAGGATAGCTATCAACTTTGAACAATGATTAATTCATATGCACTTGCATAGAGCAACTATATTGTATTTTATGCTACTGCTTCCTTTCTGCAAAAATTGAAGACTTTCCAGAGGCTAAGAATGCCATAATTAAACTACTCTTGGTTTTGGAATGAGACAGTTGATTCTGAGCCATACCTGGGCATAGTCTTTCTTTATATTCTTCCCATTTCCATGATAAATATACACAGCCCCTCGATGATCGTCTTCTAGAGGAGCACCTATGACTATATCATTAAAACCATCAAGATTGAGATCCTTTACAGGAGCAATTGATGTCCCAAAACGAGCTCCGCATGGTTCATTTTTGTTGTGATTTGTGCAATCCTTCTCCTTGTGTACCAAACAGCAAGTCTGCTTTACAGGCTCAAGTGTCATCTGATATTCAAAGGTTTTCTGTTAAGGAAGAAATAATGATCAAAAAGATCTATCTGATTTGTATTACAAGTTCTTTTGATAGTGTAGACATGCAATCAATTGATGTTAGACTCTCACTTGAATTCCCAATCCATATGAGTTTTTTTAGAATCATTACCTGGTTTAAAGAATAAATGTACACCTTGCCTTGCTCTTCTTTCTCAGTCCCCATGTACATAGGTGCTCCCACCAGAAGAAGATCTGTATATGTATCCTTATCAATATCAATTGTTGTGATAACACTTCCAAAATACGATCCGATCTGTGATTTAAAAAATAGCACCCCTTTGATACATGTTAATGTATAACAACATTGGTATTATATAAGTCACAGATCCTCAAACATCATGGTATCATGAGCCTGAAAATGATAATTATTTTTTTTTGTGATTTCCTCCACAAGTGAATAAAGTAATGATTTCATTCGGATTAAGATTGGATAGGACTTAAACAATCAAATTTAAACCATCTCTTGTTTTTCAATGGCAAGGGTGAGATTACTTAGTTTTTCAGAGTTTTTGTGTTTGCATGTGTGTGTGTAGATGCACACAGAAAAAAAAGAAAGAAAAACTTAATTCAAGTTGAGGAAATAAAATCAACAGGTGGCCACTAAGGAAAGAAAATTATGCATTACATAATCCCCGTCTCCCCACTTTGCTAAGTAATATAATTCATAACTTGTATGGGTTGTGTATAACTTTTAATATTGGAAAATATATTAATATGAAGTGGGGGTGGGGACGAGGACTAAATTTGAAATTGAAAAATGTGACTTAGAACCCTAAGAATTATTAAAAATATAGAATTATTCTGCTCCAATACAACAACACAAAGAAACTAAGCTGGGGCCATGCCTCTATTTTAGTACCCAAGCAGAGGTTGGCTGTTACTAAAATCAGAATATTAAGAGAAATACAAAAGCATAATCCATAAATTGCAGAGATAAAATTCATCTGTACATATTCTTGTTTCAGTGCTGCTACTCTTACATAAAAATGCCTTCCTTCAAACATGACATTCTGTAATTTGTTGTGTTACAAGTTGCTGCTGAAAAATTGTATTTAGTTGTGCATGCAAGTTTTGTTGTGCACTATGTGAAACTTTCCTTAGTATAGACATTTTTAATACGGACATTTTGAACTGAAAAATTGCATCATAATGAGGTAGTTAGAAAGTGCAAATAAATTCAGTTTCTTTAAGAATGAAGATAAACTAAAAAATTCCCAATATTCCTATAAAAGAACTCAAAGCATGTACTGTATATTAGTAATTGTTAAAATAGATATACAGTCATTGAAAATTGATGTAATAGTTTTGCATGAAATCATTACTTGTAATTTTTTTGTTGAGTAAATGTGTGGTGCACATAACTTTATCATTATAAGTGCTATTAACTTTTGCATTAATTAACATTAAAAATGGAAATATAGTGAGGATGTGCTTATTGATTTTTTTTACCTCCAGTACTACTTTCCAACAGTAGATTAGTGTCATAATACATACTTACCTGTTCACCACTTAATTTCTGAAGTATTTCTATTTCAGTGTCCTTCATTCTATATACGATAACTTGACCGGTGTGATTATAACGAGGTTGCCCTGCAATGTATAGCAGATCTCCAGGTACTGAAGCTGAATTGACTGTGTAACCTAAGGAATCAGAGAATAAGCACTCATTATAGTCATAGCATTTAATAACTATTTTTATTTTACATGCATACATTTGTCTTAGAGCAAATTGCCTATGTGCCCAACCTTGTCTGAGTCCCCATTCACAAAATCTAAAAGGAATTTGTTAATATTGATTCTTCTTTACCAAAATGTCTCCTGTTTTTTATGCCTATCTATAGAAATAGTTTCCACCAACTTATAAAGAACAGGTATTTCTGGTTTCCTAAGGATATCTATTTAAGAATCCCTGTTATGCCATCCTTCCCCAATATGAGTGCCCTTCAAATATATGAATATCAGCTTCCAGATTTCATTCCAAGTTAGCTGGTGGTTTCTGAGAGTTGAAGTTTGGATAGCAGAAAGATGTATTATCCACATTTTAATTATCTGGTTCAGAAGAAACATTTACCTTCTCCCAATAGCTTGTGGCTATCCACTAAAAGAAAGTTTGAATTGTCTCTGTTCTCTGCTGGAATCAGTTTGTCATGTATACTTTTGGGGTTTCACAAGCCAATGAACTGAACACATCAGTAATTTTATATTATTTAAGAACTCCTAGCTGAAGAATATGTAAACTCAGTTATTTGTTTGCTTCCAATTTGTGGGAAAATTGAAGACTTCATAACTTCTTATTATTTAGGACAGAGAATCTGAGGGGTGACCTTGAGGAAATAGGCAAGAACTGTCATATAAACAAAGAGGGCTGAAGCATTCCTTAAATTCTGAGAAAGAAGATTGTATTTGAAGAGCCCCAGACAGACTTCTCCATGGTTCAGGGAGGAGAGGTAAAGCACAATAGGGTGTTGTTATTATAGCCCGTCTTAATATAGCAGTGTTCCAGTGGCATTTATTTTCTGATCTTGTTTATTCCAAAGGGCAGACATTTTCTCTGATTTTCTTCCCCCAAATTAAATATGGTATCTGCATGGCTGCTTCTACAGAGAATAAAGCCACAAATAATTCATTCAGCTTCTTTGCAACACACAGAGAGAGAAAGAGAGAGAGAGAGAGAGAGAGGGAGGGAGGGAGGGAGAGAGAGAGAGAGAGAGAGAGAGAGAGAGAGAGAGAGACTACAAAGCCTATACATTAGGGTGACTTGTTTTAGAAAGGATTAATCTGGGAAGTGAACCTTTCTATGGTCAAAAGAAGTCCATCTACTGGCACAGATTTCCTATAACATATCCAGAGTACAATATGACTGTTGGAGTGAAATGGCCAGAATTTTAGGATTTAATTTTTAAATATGATTTCCTAAATTTAATTTGATTCATAAAAATAAAAAGAAGAAAGTGTCTTCTAGTAGAAGATCTTCTATTCTCTGGATCTAATGTACAATACAACCATTGGTATCTGGTTGGGAAAGCCACTCTTGATTAAAACACTTTGGCATAAATTATTATAAGAGTAGGACAATCAGCAGTCAATTTTACTCACCTAAGTAAGCTGCAAGACTTTCATTTCTTTCTGAAAAGCTATCATCAAATGCATTACTTGTTGGTGTTAGAAAATTGCTGTCCTTTAACATGACAACAGTCCCATTCCAGTCATATGCCCCAACTGCTCCAAGCATGATCCAGTCCTTTACAAACATAGCAGAAAAATCATTGCATTACTATATTCTTGGGGAAATTTATACTGGGGAATAAACCCAAAAAGGGGACTATGCTGGGCAGCCGGCTTATGGGTGGACAAAGTAGAGCAATTCAGTCATATGTCAGTATTTGATATATAAGCATAACAAAACAGAAAAAAGAAAATATGAATTCAGAATTGGTATGCCAGCGTGTATTTGTTCCAGATGTTTAGTAGGTTCATAATCAGCATCTTTAAATGGAAATCCCTCAATATTTTTGGTAAATACGAGACATTACTAAACAATTTTCCTGTTTTAATTTAATTTGATAAGTGAATATAGAACATAAAATAACGTTTTCTAATTCATCTCCTTGCTCATGCAAGAGATCCTATACCATTCTGAATAAATAGTTGTCCTTGAAAATCTCCATTGATGGAGCATCTACAATTTTGAAGGTAAGCTGTTCCACTGATTAATTATCTCCCTGTTAGGAAATTTCTCTTTAGTTGTAGGTTGTATCTTATCTATGCTAGATTAGGTTAGCATCTCAGATATCATCCTGTTTCATGCATCCTGTTCAAATTAATCCTAATATATGGAATCGATTTTTTTTGCAATTTCAAATCAGCAAGAGTCATCCTGAATAGCCCTAGTTTCTGATGCCTGCATATTCCTACTGAATATTTTGAATTGCTGTGATATCCAATAAAAAGTTTTATTGTTGTTGTTCAGTAGCTAAGGCTGACTCTTTGCAACCCTATGGACCAAATGGCAACCTAGTCCAGTATCCTTGCCAAAATAACCCATGGATAGTATCAAAAGGAGCAAGGTACTTTCAATAAATAAGTCAAAAGTACTTGCAGTTCATAAAGATTATTTTTTAATTGATTAGCAAAACATATTGTAATATTTCTCTCTGTGGAGAAAGTATAACATGCCCAGTTTCTTTTCTTTTTAACTGAATTTAGTTACTTTACCTGAGAATAATGGGCACTGAAGCCAACTTGAGACATTTCCATTTCAAAAGAGGCTGCCTGTTGATCATTGGTAGCTGTAAAACAGGAAATATTTAGTGTTTTAGCGTAGTTGGTTGAAAATGCTAGTATGACTGCAAGGAATTGGAAACAAGAAAAGACTAGATTAAGGGTTAGGAAAGTCCAGACTGACCAATACATTAAATATTTAGATATGTATCTGAAGAAGTGAGTGTGGTATCCTGAATCCATATTTACCATAGAGACAGGCTTAAGATACAGAAGGATCTGGACAGACTTGAACACTGGGCACTAACTAACAAAATGAAATTCAATGGTAAAAAAAGCAAGGTTCTACATTTAGGCAAGAAAAACCAAATGCACAAGTACAGCATAGGTGGCACCATGCTCAATAGTAGTAACTGTGAGAGGGACCTCGGAGTCCTAGTAGACAATCACCTAAATATGAGCCAGCAGTGTGCTGCAGCTGCCAAAAAGGCCAACATAGTGCTAGGCTGCATTAACAGAGGGATAGAATCAAGATCACGCGAAGTATTAATACCACTATTCAATGCCTTGGTAAGGCCACACTTGGAATACTGCATCCAGTTTTGGTCACCACGATGTAAAAAAGATGTTGAGACTCTAGAAAGAGTATAGAGAAGAGCAACAAAGATGATTAGGGGACTGGAGGCTAAAACATATAAGGAACGGTTGCTAGAATTGGGTATGTCTAGTTTAACGAAGAGAAGGACAAGGGGGGACATGATAGCAGTATTCCAATATCTCATGGGCTGCCATAAAGAAGAGGGAATTAAGCTATTTTCCAAAGCACCTGAAGGCAGGACAAGAAACAACGGGTGGAAACTAATCAAGGAGAGAAGCAACCTAGAACTAAGGAGAAACTTCCTGACAGTAAGAACAATTAATCAGTGGAACAGCCTGCCTCCAGAAGCAGTAAATGCTCCAACACTGGAAGTTTTTAAGAAGAGACTGGACAGCCATTTGTCCGAAATGGTGTAGGGTTTCCTGCCTGAGCAGGGGATTGGACTAGATGACCTCCAAGGTCCCTTCCAACTTTACTACTATTACTATTGATAAGATGACATCCAGCTTTGAGGCCACAATTTACCACATGGACACTGGTTACAGTAGATAAAACATTTAATTCATCAGAAAAGCACAAATTTATGCCCAACTTTTCACTTGTTGCAATACAGAATGTAACAAGTCTTATCATCCTTTAAATTCTCTGCATTAACTTTGAAAAAATTTGTTTTATATGAAGTTCATTATGGTTTTAACCTATGGCAGCTTCGGCCTCAGCCTTTTGGAAATTAAGACTCTCATGGAGTAGATTCATGCTTTGGTTCAACATTGTTTTCAAAGAATTCCAGTGGAATTCTAATGACTGAAATGTGAAAAAGCTATGTTTATAAAAATCATACAATTATCTCTCCAGAGTCCCAGGAGGGAAGGGCCCTTTCTCAGAGACCAAAAAGAAAGCAAAACCTGGAATCATTGGTATGCAGGAAAAAGGCAAAGGCAGAACTTCCCTAGCAATTCACAGAGTATATTTAATAGTTATGCAGATAGTTGCTTTAGCCTGACAAGATTTCTTTCAATGGATGAATATAATAAATAAACTAGTCAGAAGTAACTCCAGGTGTCGTTCTTGACTTCTTAAGCCTAACATTAATCTTGCCAGATTCTGTACTCCTAAGAAGAAGGGAAATCTTGAGAATGGTGACAGACCTGCAGGAACACTAATTTCTTTGCAGCAGCTAGCAGATACATTGCTATGACATCATTAAAAAGTTGACACACAGATCTCAAATTTACAAGCAACCATTGTGCCACTTTTGCAACAGGTGTGACAAAGTGCTCTACAACCAGTGGGTGCAGCAGTGTCAGGCACAAAAGACCAGGGTCACATGTAAAGGTTCAGTTAAACTGATTTATTGATAAAAGTCTGTGTAGAAGAGTCTTTTCAACTTCAGCACTTGCTTAGAATTAGATAAGGGTTAATGGCACTCAAGGGGGTTGGGGTTGGACTGCTACATAGGGATTCTAGGCTGATCCCTCTTTTCACTCGACCCACAGGTTTGATCATCTGTTCTCCTACAGATGTGCTGCCATCCTCCATGTCTGAGGAATTATCCCTGTCAGGTGACTTCTTGGAGGAAGCTACTCTTCTGATTGGTCCTAGCTGCATCATTGCTTCTGCATAAGTCTGGAAAAGCAGTAGTGTGGGAAGAGGGTCTCATGAAACTCAATTTAAACTGGGTTTATATATCCCTCCCTGACTCTGTTTCAACTTTTCTAGTTGGGCATCTATCACTATGCAACACTGGTACAATCCCTCCAAGGCCTATGGAAAGTCCCATGTCATTAGTTCATACTGCTTAAAAAAATCGTGCCATTATTTAAATATACATTTTTTTCCTCTTCACACAGTACGGAAATTGCAAGGAAAACTGGGGCTACATGTGTTACTTTCTCTTTTGTGCATATATAACTTCCTTGGAACACAGCCCATGTTTATAAGCAAGACAGTAGTTACTTTTGCAGAAAACAGGAGCAATATATATCTCTTAATGGAGATAAACTAAACACTGGAAGCCATTAGATACAAGCATGGTTTTCTTAAAAAACTTACCATTTGAATAAGATTCATAACCTAATATTAGTAATGAAATGGCAATTCATATATTTTGATGAGTGCATTTTTATATTTATTGTCTTCCTGGTCTTATGGTTGTGTTTTCCATAAAGAAGCTTAGTTTGATTACTCAAAAAAAGATGGACATAAAGTATAAATGTGAAGTATACACAGATGTTTTCCTTGCTGGGGAATATAATCACTTACACATTATTTGGATTTCTGCCTAACGTTTTAAAGCATTAGTAGTGCATTAAGCACTGCAAAGAAGAACGGAAGCAATCTTCTTGCTGCCAAGATAGTTTATAAATGAAGAACAGGATATGGATAGGGATTGTAAAGGATTAAGAACAACTGAATGGAGGAAATTGACTAATACGGAACATGTCACAGTTTAAGTGACAGCAAATTCAGAATCTCAGATGAAAAGATATCAGTTCAGTTTTGTAAAGTTATGAGTCCAGAAAAAGGGAGGGAGGGAGGAGGGGAGGAAGGTACAGTCCATCAATTCTCATGTATGAATTGGTATGATTAGGGCATTTACGTTACGTGGTTTTTACCTGAATCTGAGATATCAACGATACAGTTTGGTTCTAATTGTGACATAGAGCAGCATGGAAGGAAAATAGACTAAGTGCATGGAAAGACATCATCCAGGTTCAGATATGCCACCATCTAGAGGTTATAAAGGCAGGTGATTCTTAATAAGAAGGTGTGAGGACAGAGCTTAAGATAAAGACCTCATTCTTTCCCAGCACAGCATCTTTCCTAATCAGGATTGCAACTCCCAGAATTTCCAAATTTGCATGAACTTTAGAGGATTTAATATGTGTAATTCAGCCATACAGTGTACTATACACAGAGGATGAGAATGGTTTTATAGCTGAAAAAGATTTAAACACAATAACAAGTAACCATCTCAAGACATTAATCTGCAGATTAATCTACATTAATAGAAGCCCAGACTATGCAATCCCATCACTATTTCTGTAATGAAGCGTTGCCTCTCTTATCTAACTGTTCCCTAGGCAGCATCCCTTCAACGCTTCTTTCAAGGTCTTTCTCACATAACATCACAATTTCTGTTGTTACAGATCATCCCAGTTAAGTATCCATTTGAGTTCTAGAAGACTAGTACCAGAACTCACTACCAGAACTTATCTTCCTGTCATAATTTTGGGAGAAAAGGAGAAACATTTTTTTTTGCCATCTCACTAATCTGCAGAGTGCATGGCCACTAAAAATAAAAATTACCATCACAAAAATACTAAAAAGTTTTACTTCCCAGAACTTCCAGTAATAAAGCACTTCTCCAGTCCAATCTTAACTCCTCTAGCCAATGGATTTTGAGTTAGAGTAGGACTAGGTATCAGGCCTAATACAGCAATTATTATTTGTTTACAACGAACAGAAAATCAAAGTACATTAATAAAACAAACAAAACACCAGAAGCAGAGGAAAAAAAGCCCCTGTACCTTCCAGGGCAAATATTCTTTCTCCAAGAGCTTCAACAATTGTAAGGAGAGCTACTTCATTTGAGACATTAAAGAAATGCTTTTCAGTTGGCCTGCTTGCAATGGATTTGATTTCCTCCACTAATTTCTCAGGGTTTCGATTTCCTCTGTTATAGGAGCCAAGAATCTGTGGTATGCAGAAAAAAAAGAAGCAGTTTTAAAAAATAATGGTCTACATGTTACTATTAGCTCACAATTGGTAACATGTAAGAAACATAAAATGGCACAATCTGCAACTCTGTCATAGGCTTCAGCCTCTAGAATAAATGCAGTGGAAGTGGTTAGCCCAGACTAAGAGCATTCAGATCTGGACCAAGTGTGTGCTCATCAGAAATTTCCCACCAGAAGAACAATCTAGGATGACCTTCCCTAGCCTGTTGCCTTTATGTAAGGATTAAATGACTGAAAATTCCCAAACAATAAGTATTGTGGATTCTGGAGGTCACGATATTTATGCGTGTTATGAAAATTACTAATCTATCTGGCTAATCTATCTGGCTAATCATGACCAGATAGATAAAACACAGAATTATTATTTCCTGATTGAATATCACCATATTTGAAAAATCCATTCCTCAAACACATTGATTCCATTATATGTAGCTATAGCATAGTAACCTAAAAGTATTATTTTTAAGAGCAAGTATTAAGATTTTGGATTGGGATTGGGGAGGCTCAGGTTCTAAATTACCCTGAATCATGGAAACATGTAGGATGATTTTGGGCCAGTTGCTTTCTTTTAGCCCAACATATCTCACAGTATTGTTGTTATGGAAGTAAATAGGCGGATGTCCATTCTATATTCAAGATACATAATGAGAGAGAGATACACAGATACTCACACACACACACACACACACACACACACACACACACACACACACAGAGAGAGAGAGAGAGAGAGAGAGAGAGAGAGAGAGAGAGAGAGAGATACTATAGAAAAAGTGGGATATACATCTAAATAAAAAAATATTTGTGTGGAACGATGAGTATTGACCTGAATGATCTTGCAGCAACAGTTTTCCTGAAGCACTGTTTATTTTCAGCAGTCAAAGAGAAATAGAAGAACATGTCATTACTAGTAGAGTCAGCATGCACTTTAAACAAAATATGAATCCAATGAGTAATGAATAAAAAAATTAGCATGTTGCTAATATTAGAAGAATACTAACTCATCAAAAAAGGATTCTTTCCTCAAGGCAAATGAAAGAAAGGGAAAGAACAATTTCTAGATATACAGTACAGTTTTTCTACTAAATATCACTTACAGCAATAGAAAATCTCTGTATATTGTCTTTTTCACAATCATCAATCACTTTTTGTAATCGGTAATTGTCATGAGATTCTCCATCAGTCACAACTACCATGACTTTTTGTACCCCTGGGCGGGCCCCATGAGCTTCTGTAAATGCTTCATTCCTAAAACAAGAGTGAAAACCTGTAAATCTGCAGACTGCAGACAAGGACAAAACATAAATACCAAAATCAGTAGGAAAAATAAAAAAATGGCATGGTGGTTGATTCTATAGGCCCTTGGTTTGAATTTTCAGGGCTCTCATTATATTCTTAAAATCCTGTTGTACATGGGCAAGTCTGTGGAAGATCAGCATAATTCTTTATGTAGGTTGATACTTATTTATAAGGCTGTAAGCACCTACCTTGCCGTTTCAATGCCAAGAGCTGTCATGGTCTCGAATCCTTCTCTCTGTTTAATTTTGCCTGCTGCTACAAGCACTTCTTCTGTGGTTGAATATGTGTTGAGATAAAATTCATGGGTTACATTTTCTCCATATTGAACGATCCCAACCTAAAATTACAAAATGTTCTGCTCAGGAAATCTTCACAGTGATGCCATAATTCACAAGACAGCAACTGAAGAATTTACCTTTCAGTTAAAGACAGAAGACCACCCACACTATTAAGAGTTTTTTTTTATATATGGTAAACCAGAAATGTGGTCTACTAAGAATAAGCATTAGACTGTTGGACAGAGTTCAGTGACAGACTTGACTCTTCTTGCCACTTGAAGCATCTAAACAGAGCACATGAAGTCTTGTCTCACTCCTTTGCAGACTTGGAGTCAGTCTGTTTCACCATGTTCCATTCAGCTTGTATCTTACTGTCTTTGTACAGGTTTCTGAGAACATGAAACCTATAAACAATAAGAACTTCTGGGATTCTCATTTTCTTCAGAATATTTTCACAGCTAAAATCAATCAATTCACCTGAAGGTCTTTCCAGAACCAATGAAGCACATGTTGATGGCTTTCTCAGTTATCTAATGGCATTAACAATAATGTATGTTGCTCAATCTTTTCTAAAGCCTAAACATCTATTATTTCTATGTAGAACTCTAATCTTAATTGGATGATTATTTTGTTAATGTGTGAAATTAGACTGCATACTCTGTTAAATTTCCTTCCTTTGATATCAGTATGTAGATACCTTCACTATATTGGCTATTCTACAGAATTGCTGCATAGCTTGGTTGGATCTTCTACTGATTCTTCCTTTGTAAATGTTCTTCACGTCCTATAGCCTTCCAACATATTAACGACATAGTGAGTTTAGTGATTTTCCATCAATGAGTTCGGAACTTCAAAGTGATTCCTGATGTTTTCCTTGAAAATGATGGAAATCAAAATAATCAAAACTATATTGTAGAAATCTGTTGGCTTTTTATTTCACTTCAGGTTGACCTGCAACTTGCACATGATCTGTTGCATAGCTGGTCCCGAATATCTTTCCTGTTATAATTGAGTTGTTCTACCACTTTGTAGAAATAATATAGTCAGTTTGATTTTTGAGTACTCCCTTTATATAGGCATCACAGTTTCTTTAGGCAATGGCAAACAGGTGGATTCCTGTAATTGCTAATCAATTCACTTTATAAAAGAAAGGTGATATGTAACAAAATAATAAGTGTTTTTCCCCAATACCCCTTTTTTCATTTTCAGCTGCTTAATTTTATGAGAGGTTCTGATCTAAATGTGAGCTTTGCAATGTTCCATTAGTATATTTTAAATGTATGCTCTGCATTGATATTTTGAATATTCTGCCTAGTCCAGCCATTGAATGCTAATATACTCTGTCTTGGCATGTTTGCCTCTTATTCATCCATTATTAAAACTCTCACTCTCTTAAAAGACTGAACATTAATACAACCTATCCAGACATATACTTTTATAGCTGGATCAGTTTACATTCTAGCTTTTAGTTTTCAGATGTGCTTCTCAATCTGTTTTATAGCTCATCCCTTTTAGTACAAACATCTTTGTTTACTGGCTGTCTTTGATGCAATTAAACTGAGGAATGTAAGGGTCATTAAGAGTCAGGAAACTGATTAAGACCTGGCTTTTCCACAAAGCTTTTGGAGACTGAGATGCTTATATGTGAACTATTAAAATATTTCTCCTAAGTGGGGACGGAGGTTGTTCTGTGTCATAAGGAATGTGAATATTAGTAAAATTCTATCAGTCTATTTTCTACCAGTCCAGTGTGTATTTTTCCATATCTTAGTTGTTCATTTTTTGATACTTTGTAGGCCACTTACAAACATTATATAGAAGTGGCTTACAAAGTCTCAATATTGAGTAAAATACATAAAGAATTTTCATTTTACAAAAATGAGCAAAAGAAGAATGTTGTTCTATTTTTTGATGATATATTTTCACCTGCAGAACAATAATGAAAAAAAATCTTTGCTTTTTTCTTGTCTATGGATTCCTGCAGTTGATGCTTGTTGATCATTATGGAAACTGGGATGGACTTCTGCTCTGTTGCAGCAACATTCTGTTTTCAGTCCTTAAATTTACTGGATACGTTTAGTGTATCTGATTCTACTGATCTTCTACTTGAGAAGATTGCGTTCTGTGCAGATTGGATAGATCTCTCCCATGCTTGTAGAATATTTAATGTTCCCCTTGAAATGTTTGTGCTGACAGGTGGTTATAGGGATTATGCTTTATAGTGATGGCATCCCAAAACAGGTTCCTATTCTTAGCAGTTGATTTGGAAACAAGGGCATGCACACCCCTACTCACACAGAAAGAACTAAGATCATTTCAGCTTCTTGAAAATTCTATAGAGTTCTGTCATAGGGAATAATGGGAAGTTGAAACAAAACTTTCTTGTTTTTGAACCTACGACTACAGAAATGGATGGCATGACAACCCAATCCTTGATAACAACCTACATTTCTTCCATGGACGTTCTAATAATATGTATTTATTTAATGCATTTTATGCATCTCTAAGGCCATTCAATTAGAAAGCAATTACCTTCCTCCAAAAGATCAACCTCCCCCTTTTATTTCTGCAGTACACTGTCCACTTTTATCTATTCTGGAGCCTAAAACAACAAAAGTTCATCTATGAATTCACAAAACATGCTGGTTCATTTTATCTTTCTTTTAATATTTAATATTAATCCATTTTTAATTTTCCATTTGTAGTTTTCCTAAGGCTTTTTACCTTTGTCTAACAGAACAATGTGATCTTCATATTTTAAATTGTTCCTGGTTTGACCTCCAATTTTGATTGCAATTGTTATATATTCTGAAAGTGCCATTCCTGAATACATTCATTGTAAAAGCTAAGCAGATATGGGGACAATGGGGATCCTTGTCTATTTATTCTGTTTCTCCTAACTCCACCCTTCATTGTAAAAGTTTTTCAAAATAATAATCAGAAGTTCTAGCATGATCTGCCTCTTAAAAATCTTAAATGCTCCCTTCAATACCATTTTGTGTTAGTTATCTAATTTGCCTTTTCTGAAACCTTCCGGTTCATTTGGCAATTTTCTGACCATATATGGCTTTATTCTTCTTTGTAAGATCTTAAGCAAACCTTTGTTTGTGTAAGGAATGAGTGTAATATTTTGACAGTATGCGAATATATACCATTTTTCAATCTATGGCCCATGGTGTTGTTTCATATTTGTTGACATACAGCTGTTTGTACTTTAGATGTTTCTTTTCTGAAAACTTTCAATAATTCAGTCAGTTTATCTCTGATGCTTTTCTACAAATAATTTATTGCTCTCGTATATCACTTTTAAGTAGAGTCAGTTCCCAAATGCATTTTCTCTATATAAATTGATTTATGTTACTTACTTATTTAAAAAATTTCTATGGCTAAACATCTTAAGACACAACTCTGGGTGGCCATTGAAATGTTTTTTGTTATTCTATACTAATCCTAATTTCAAGAGATTTCAGTATTCAATTGTTCTATAACCACATTTTCTTTCTCTATGTCCTATCTCCCACATACTGTATATTCCCATCATGCTACCGTATTTTCCGGCCTATAAGATGACTTTCTAAAGCCTGCAAATTGGCTCTGAAGTCGGGGGGCGTCTTATACGCCAAGTCATCTTATACGCCAGACATTACGGTAGTTTCCACCGTATAAGATGACTTTCTAGGCAGGCAAATCGGCTCCGAAGTCGGGGGTTGTCTTATACGCCAGGTTATCTAATACGCCGGAAAATACGGTATTTCTTTCAAGGTAAACAACATTATATAAAATATATAAATACAAAGAAACAAAGCTATGAGACAGGAGAAAACAAAAGGAAATATAACTACATCTAGTTTACAGCTCCCCAATTCACTATATTTATCCGTCCTTGTAAATTATCCTTGCTTTTAGTACATTGTCATGCTGATTCATACATTATTTTTTGGTCTTTGAACTTCTCATTTTCCTTTTTCTAAGATCTCATACGCTTCTGCAACTTTCTCAGTCTTCTCCTTCCTCTCAATTGATATACTTCTTTTATGTCCTAGCCCTAATTCATTCTGTATTTATGATCAAGCTACCTCAATAAACTTATTTTATTCAAAAAGGTGATATACTTTTAATCCGCCCACTCATTCTTGATCTTATCTCTTCTGCTTTTACCACACATACTTCTTAAGCAGCCACAGGCAGAAACACATTATCACTGTGGCATTGTCTCCACCCAGTTTTATACTACAAAGTGCAACTGTCGGTACAATAGAAGAATAAAAAGCATACAAAGAGCATCCACCCAGCAAAATTGCCTACCAGCCTATTGACTGGGAATTTGAAAAGTCTCTTGAAACTATTAAAATGTCTCACCAGGTGGCAGCACCTGGAAGATTTTGTTTTGTCTTAGATACTTAGCATCTTCTGATACATACTTTGAAAGAAAACCTTCAGGAAACAGCAGGGCTGGAAGCTGCAGTGGGCAGTAGGGGAAAAACATTATGGAAGAAGGTAATGGCATATATTACTTCAAATATAATTTCAACATTTTATAGCTTTGCACTGGCCATAGATAAAGCAATGAAATAAGTGTAAGGAGGAGTTTCTCCGTACACTTGTACAGAACCAATATGATTTTCCCCATAGACATAGCATTTAACGCATGGTTCTTTCATTGCCACACATATGCATGTGCCTTTGGTATCCAAATGCATTTATTTATTTGTTTGTTTGTCCTACTTGTAAACTGCCCGTCTCCCTCAAAGACAGATTTTGTTCATTTACAATAGGGTTCACATTTTTTTTATTGGAATTACAATATAAATGTTTCTTAGCTTTGTACAATGCTTGAAGTGGTTTTCGAAAGTTACTCCTTCTTCTGTTGATGGCTGAGAATGTCTGACTCAACCTCTGACAAGCTGATTATTTGTAATACAGTTTTTTACAGATGATATGGTACCCTTAACCATTCCTTTTGATATCTGTGCATTAACTGACAAGCTATAAGAGTTTTCTCATCTATTGCAGAACCACTGCTAGGATTGGTAAATTAGAAAAGTTTATATTATTGCAGGTATCCTTGATTGTATAGCTATGCTATAGATAAAATCAAATCAAATATAAAACATTTGCCTTAATGTACCTGTGTATCATAGGGGCCTATACTCATATTTTGCAGTATTCGTTTCAAAAAATTGGTGACATCTTTCCATTCAAAAATACTGTTAGATCCATCAAGAACAAAGACAATATCCAGCTGGGACTTGCATTCTGCAACAGGAAACAAAATAAGGAAATGTTCGAAGCACACAATGGTTTTTCTGTTAAATTGACACTCTGCTACTCCTTTAATTTCAAAACAAATTACTCAGAAGAGATATGATGTTTCTCAGATACAATTAATATGCAACAAGAACTGCTCTGAGTTTCTACATTCCATTGCATTATTATCTATTTTTCTAGTATAGTTTATACAATAGAGACCTACACAATGAAACACATCCAAGCAGAAGTTGAAGGATGAAGTTTTTGAGTTGCTATAATTTGAATCAGTGCCTTTGGAAAATGTGCATAATGAAGTTCTGCTTGAGAACGGAAATGGAGATTCATCTTCTATGGTATTATAAAATTCATTGGGCTATTTTAGACCAGTCATTCTCTCTCTGCCCAGCCTGAAACTCAGCCTATTTTACCTCTGGAGGAAATGTTGGACTCATTGCTTGCACTGATATACTGATTCTTTGGTTCTGAAGCTTGTTACAACTGGATGGTGATAACTCATCAGTGCAGGAGATGGAGCTATTGATTCAGTCTAGCAGGTTTCAGATTAAAAAGCTTCTAGCATCTTGAGATGTTCTGATATGACATAGAGTAGCTTTGTGGACAGGAGAGGGCATGTTTTGGTTAATGGGTATTTCATGAATACTGGACCTTTGTCCAGCTACATGGAGATCAAGAAATATCTCAAGAATAAAGAATGTTTTCAATTTTCAATTATTCATAACTATGTTTAAAATGTGATTTTAAAATATAAACAGTTTTATTAAGATTGCTATATAGACATTCTACTTAAGATCTATTGTACTTCAAATGTTTCTTTGGTGTGTGTTTTGTGTCCATTGCTAACCATTTTAGCTATTTCAGAATGCATAATTATAGAAACAAGCTCTTCATACAGCTTGTCACACATCATGGTGATTATCTTGAAGAAATCACAGATGCCTCTAATATTTAGAACTCATTAAGTCTAACTACATGAATAGTTTGTTGGCTCTGGAGTTATATTACTACCATGTATAGGGGTGGTAGTAAAGTATCATTTGTCTATATAAAAAAGAAACAACTGCAGTGGACTTGAATAGAAAAGAAAACTAAAAGTAATGGGAAAGGACATTTGTTTTTATTGTCATGAACTAAGGAGCAACTTAAAGAAAGGAAGAAGGAAGATGGTAGGTTAGCAAATCATATCCTCCAAGAAGGGCTTCACAAAGTATTTTTGAAAATAATGTTTTTAATATGATTAAAATGTCATCCCCGCTTCTGGGAATCAGCACAAAGAATGGAGTCTTGTGACTCCAAAAACCAATGCAAGGACAAATATTTCATCTTCTTATATTAAAGAGGCATTTAGCTTTCTGTGATGGCTTGAAGATTATTTTTAGACTGATTTTCATTTGTGAATAATGCTATGAACCTGTTTATACTAAAACTAAATTACAGGGACAGTAAGCATTTAAGTAATATACAAACAAGGATACCATTTACCTAATTTGGTCATGCCAGTTGCCTTGAAAATTAGTTTATAATTCTGATATAACTCTGTATATATATTAGACTTTTTTCAAGCTCCATCTCTGCTAAAAAGATACAAAAACAATTTTCATATATACATACCTCGCAATGGAGCAATGGAATTTACAACCTCAAAATTGGAGCTAACGTTGGAACAGATGCCTGTTGTATAATAGGAATGTCCACATTTATAAGCATAAAGAGGCCCGCATGCCTTTGACAAAGAAAAAAAATACTTTTTACTGTTTAAATAATTCACCATATTTTATAGTAGCTATTTTGATATCCACAATGGTTGGAAATATGCTTGCTGAAGTCCTAAATGAAAACTATAAAACATTGCAACAGCAATATGATGGCACAGCCACAAAGGGATCTGATCCAGTTTTGGAATTTTGTGCAGTACAAACTTATTTTTTATTATACTTGGGTGTTAAACAAAGAAGTTTAAAAAAACCCAGGAACCCAACAATTCAACCCTTAGTATTTATTCTCTATCACAGTAACAAAATTATTGCTCTCAATATATCTGATAAATATATATCTGATAAATACACACATTGTATATAAAATAAACTTCTTCTTTTTCTTCTTGTGCCATATCCATTATCGGACGTTGGCGCTCATGTTGGTGATCCTGTTTTTATCAGCAGCCGCACGAAAAAGTGCTGCTGAGTTTTGTCCAAACCAATCCCTTAGGTATATGTAATTTTAGATTGTGTCCCGTGCTCCTAGGTCAGTGATGGCAAACCTTTCAGAGACCAAGTGCCCAAACTGCAACCCAAAACCCACTTATGTATTGTTGGGTGCCGGGTGGGCGTGGCCCAATGGGTGGACATGGCAGCGGTGGTAACGGCAGACTGGGTGGGACTAAAAAGTCCAATCAATCAATTCCAACTTTGATGATCTTTTTTTCCCCGCGAGAAGTTGAAATTGATTGATTGATTGAACCTTTTTTTTTTTTTTGTACATGGAGGCAGAGGTCTAAAGCGAAAAGGTTTTATAAAACCTGAGGGCCCAGTTCTGGGGTGATGGCACACGTGCCCACAGAGAGGGCTCTGTGTGCCCACCTGTGGCACGTGTGCCATAGGTTCACCACCACAGTCCTAAGTCATTCCAATATCACAGTGGAGGCATGTGTTACTCTGCTTTCATTAGAGACACATTTGCCAAACATTTGCCAGCAATGCCCCTCTGGATTTTACACAGAACAAACCAGTCAGTTATTGTGAATAATAATAATAGTAATGACAGTTATATGTTTGACATCAAGATTCAAAACAAGGACAAAACTAATATAAGAGCATTTAAGTCCCATGAAATTCCACTAAAGATCTCCAAGTAGGCATTTTGGAAAAAAAATAACTTTATCAGCATAACTCAGGGAAAGATTGCTGAATTCACACACATCAAGAACTTCATGCTTTTCAAAAAAAAAAAAATATCTCGGCACTGACAAGGTGTTTTTTAGCACATTATAATTGTTATTAGAAAAGGTACTTGTAAATCTGTCTCAGTGCAATCAGTATTTCCATAACCACCCTATTTTTCTCCTCAGCTTATCCCAATTTATCAGTTGTATCAGTTTAGTTAATTCAAGCATCTGAGGATATAAGCTTTGGTTCATGAAAGCTTAAACCTTATAAATTAATTTGTTATTTGAAAATATGCTACCAAACTGATTTTTTTTAATCCATAGGCTAATACAGTACTCCTCCTTCAATAATTACTCCTTGGCATGGAATATAAAGTACCTCTTGATAGTTCCAAGAATCTGTGCTGGTTATTATGCATCAGAGACGCTTTTCTCTCTATTTTATTAACACTGATTGAGTCCATTTTTGAGGAGCACAATTCAATTCATGGATCTTGGAGATTTTAGTTCCCACTAATCCTACAATTCTCCGCACTACCTGAACATTTGTAGCCATGCTGGCTAGTAATTCTGGCAGTTGAAGTCCACATGTATTAATGTTGCCAAGGCTGAGAAACACTGCTTTAGAGCATCACTAAGCATGCCATGAGAAGTGGGAGAAGGAGTGGGAGAAAGATGGCAGCACTGGCTAAAAGTGGGTCTCCTCATTTCCATCTGTAGAATCATTGCTGGATCTAGTGCATGGGTGTCAAACTCACTACATAGCATGATGTGTCGCGATGTATCACGACTCTTTTTGCATTGCCAGCAATGGGGTGGGTGCGGCTTTGGTATGATGAAACCGGCCCGTGGGCCGGCAGTTTGACACCCCTGATCTAGTGTCTTACATGGATGATGATGATGATGATGTCATCCATTCACTCATGTTCAACTCTTGTTATTTCTACAGGCCAGGTCTCTCAACGTCTTCCAGTCCTGCACTACTGCCTTAAGTTGTTCTATGCTCTGGTGTCAGCTTTGATGGTGTCCAACTACCGTGTTCTTTGGCGGTCTGGGTTCCTTTTATTACTAACTCTTCCCAACACAATTGCTTTCTCCAGTGAATTCCCCAGCATGACATGGCCAAAATGAGTGAGATATAGTTTTGTGATTTTGCCTTCCTTATGTGGGTAGAAATAATTTCCCATTATTATGTATAATTTTCCAAAAGTAGTTAGATTCTGACCTTATCAGACCAAATCACCAAGTTTAATATTCAAGAGTGATAGAAACTTTAATCCAACAATATCCGGGCAAGTTCTGTATTTCTTCTTTAAATGGAAAAAAAATCATACGTGGAAACCTTTCATGATAAATATTACAGTATTGATTATAGTAAATATGCATATTATTTTTTATTTCCCCCAAGAGATAATATGCTCACCAAAAACCCTCCTTTGGGATTTGTCACTAAGGTTGACCCAAGAGTCATATTCTCCTTTACTTCTGTAACTTGAGGAATTGAAGTGTCAGCTATAGATAGATTAAAAATAAAGTTAATTATGGGAAAATATGCAAACAAGATATTAAATCATGTGGTATTTAAAATGCCAAATTTGTATGCAAAACAAGGATCTTTTTGGCTTCTTTTCTTTTCTTCTCCCTGTTCCCTCTTGGTTAAAACTATGAAATACATAGTTTTTCTGGCTTTCATCCCAGAATCTTTGTCTGGGATAATGCTTCACATAGTTTTCCTGAACCTCAAACAGAATGTCAAAATAGCAACAGGGTGACAGTAAAAGATATGAATTCATTTAAAATTGAAAATTAGGAACAAATAAACTTTTTCATTTTCTGTATAGCTCTAGTGTTGGATCAGTAAATTATCAGCTGCATACATAATATGTCAGTGGGCAATAAAGGTTATGGGAACGACAATGTAGTAGAACTCACACTAGTTGCTTTGTTAGCAAAAACTGTACAACTGACATTGGAAGAAGTTTCTGGACCTTTGGTAAAAGATTCAGTGAAGTAGCAAATATAGCTGAAAGACCCATTACAAAAAGGGGAAATGAGTGGAAAGAGAATATTGGAATTTACAGATGGTCCTCAACTTACGACCATTGTAACATGTCATGCTATACACATCCTAATCATATAACTGCATTTTGGATGGTTGGCAATTGGCTACAACTGGTAGCAGCATCCTGCAGTCACATGATCATGATTTGCTATGTTTTTTGTCTGTTTCCAGCATTTTTTGACTGCAGATTTGCTTAACAGCTATGAAAATCTTGTAAAATAGGGTCTGTCATGTGGGTGCCTCACTATAATGACTTATAATGTAGTCAGAAACACTGTTCCAATCATGGTTGTAAGTTGAGAACTACTTGTATACCATTTATATAAAAAAGCTGTCTTGTAGCACCCTTCCCCTCTTTGCAGAGGACTAATTTCTTTTTATCACCTAGCCTGTTTAGTGAGGGTCCTTTGATTATGATGCTTATTATTTCTGGCCTTTTAGTTAAACAAGTTTTGGCTTCTAACTTGATTTTGTTATGGTAGTGAAATTGCAATTTTTTTCATTGACTTTCTTACCTGGCAGGTTTAATTTTACACATGGCAAACTGTTACCCTGTCCTACAGGGCATTTATAGACATCACCTGTTTTCTTTTGGGGCTGACCAGCCAAAGGAGAACCAATAAGCACCCTGCAGAATGATAATATATATATTGTCAATGCAGTACATAATATTTGCTTTGGTACATTAAATAAATGTAATAATTTACTATCTAAGTTGCATGTAAAAAAGCTAGTGGGATAAAATGAGTTTACAATAGCAGATAGGAGTATCAAGTTAGAGCAGTTTCTCTAATTAGTTATTCTTTCTCTGAAAACACCATAAGGTGTTCATTATGACCTATGAAATCCTAAATGACTAAGGAATCATTAAGTTATAGAGGTTTGGGAAGGGATGAAAGGGGGAGATAATAATTAACTAATTAATAATCTCACCATTTTCCCTCTTCATTTTCAAATTGCTGCACACTATATCCAAACATGTCTTCCACAGGACCACTAAAAGTCATTGTATCTTTCACATCAACGTTGAATGACAAAGAGAGATGCAGCAGAACTGTTTTTGTAAAAAAAGGAAAGAATGGAGAAAATTAAACCAGTCTCAATGACGAAGTTTATATGCTGCCTAAAGGCCATCAGAAATTTGAAATTGAAATACATTCTCAGCAACAGTGATCTGGAAGACACATAATACCACATTATAATAGATACATTGAAGGCTTCCTTTTGGACTGTTGTGTGTTAAATTTGTTACTTAAGTGTACTGTTAAATAATAAAGCTTTTTTCAAATCAAATATTCTATTGTCACAATAGCATCTGGTCAGTTTTGTGTAATGGATAAAGTATGGGATTTTTATTGGGATGGAATATAGATGATGGAATATGGGATTTGATCTGAAAGCCATCTACTAGAAGATTAGTGGGCTTCCTTGTGCAATTGGTTGGCCACGGTGAAAACAGATTGCTGGACTAAATGGGCCAAGGCTATGATCAAACAAGTTACAAACCAGATTCATATCTTTTCTCAGCTGTACTACAATTTGTCATGATGTCATATTGTCACCAACTGTGATTGAAGGAAACAGAAAGGCAGAAATAACATAAGCAGACTATCTTACACTATTCAGTGATGAAAGAAAAAATTCAAAGCATTGTTTTCTAAAGGATAGACTATTTTGTCTTTAGTATAACCTCTCACCAAAGGCACTAGAGCAGTGGTTCTCAACCTGTGGGTCGGGACCCCATTTGGGGTCAAACGACCATTTCACGGGGGTCGCCAAACAATGCAGTCCGCCATTTTTTCCCCCTTTTCCTTAGCTGTGCTACTCCCTTTTATTCTATTGGCTTTTGAAAGCCAATAGAATAGACTCTCTTGAATATAGTCTAATTCTATTGGCTTTCAAAAGCCAATAGGAATTGTCCAGGCTGTCTCTGCCCTGCTGAGCCTGCCAAAAGTCCCATTCTGCAAATGGTGCTGCACCAGTTGAGTAGTCCTCGACTTACGACCGGTTGGGTGTCGCGGCATTAAAAAGGTTGAGAACCACTGCACTAGAGATTGTTATCTAAACATTACATATTTGGTGACTCATAGTGTTATTTTTCTTTTTCCTAGAGGATTTAGTTTGATTTATTATCAAACACATTTTGCTTTAATGTAGGATAAATAAACTTGACCACACACCATGATTGCACATTAAATACACGACAGCGAAGTTCAGAAATTAATATTTCACAGCATTGTTCCCCGATGTGTGTGCAACTCACTCTGCATTAGGTGCAAATGAAGAAATACCAGGGCGACGTGTTTTGATAAGGGAAAACAGAAAACTGAACTTGGCTCCTGGCAACTGCAAGAAAATTAGGCAGTTTCCTGGAAAGTGGATTATCTTTGCCATATTCCAGGATTTTTATTTTATTTATTTTGAATTTAGAGTTACTTTCCATCTTAGTTTACAGGCTTGGAATTTCCTGAGTGTCTTCTATTCAAGAATTAACCAGATCAATCTCTGTTTAGCATCAAAACCCAGGTAATTTCAGTCAGCCAGCCAGCCAGCCAGCCAACACCAACCAACTAAATAAATAATGAACAAAATCCCCAAAGTAGGCTTTCTTCTAGGGTGCTCTGGTTTTCAATAAGGAGAGTTTTGAAGCTATGTGAAAGGTTTCTTTTGTAATTTTCTCCCGTAAGATTCAATCAATGTGACTGGGGAAGAAATGGCTTTGTCAGAGAGAAGAAAACATGGTAAAATTCTGGTAGTGGGGGATAGGGATTCTTGTAGTCCCGTAGTGATGAATAAAACAAGCTTCTTTCCAGGGAATGATGTCAATCTTGCCATGAGCTCTTTAGAGCAGGGCTTTTCAACCAGTGGTACAGGTACCACTTGTGGTACATTGGCACCTGGTAGGGGGTACGCGAACATCCTAGAAAAGTGGTAGTGTGGGAGGGGAATGAGCTGAACCGGTGGCAGCACCACACAAGCCTGAGCGAGAGATGGCTGGAGCTGCAAGGCTGTCAGGGCTCAGCAGAAGAGCCAGGATCAAGCACCAGGCTCCAGCTGGAAAGCAGCACTGATCCTGGTGCTTCTGCTGAACCCTGAAGAAGCACCAATCAGCTGGAATGTTGCAGCATCTCCAGGGTCTTGTGATTTACATTCAGAAGCTTGGCAACTGATTCATGTTTATGACAGTCAGTGTCCCAGGGTCATGTGAAGTGACCAAAACCTGCTGCAACCACCCAGCAGACGGGGGGAATAAAAATCAAACACCCCCACCCCACCCCCGCTGCCAATCCTCAACAGAAATGCTCACAACAATGGAAAGTTCGGACAGGAGGAAGAGCGTGGCCGGGCGGGCAGGCAGGTGTCTTGCTCGGCTGTGGCTTGGGGGTCACTTTTTTCAGTGCCATTGTAACTTCGAACAGTCACTAAGCAAACTGTTGTAAGTCGAGGAGTATCTGTACTTTTCACTTTTTTCCTTTTTTTTTTTTTTTGGTTCATCAAGTTTTTGACACCTTGCTAGGCAAGTGGTGATACTCGGATGTTGCCATATCCTAAAAGTGGTACAATGGGTGAAAAGATTGAAAAGCCCTGCTTTAGAGGTTAACGTAATCAGAGAAGATGCAAAACACAATAGAAGTAGAGAAGGGTTAAAGTATTTTAATAATGAAAGCTCTTTTGGAGAAGAAATGTTTTAAAAAGAAATTAGGATTTAGACTTTAGCACAGTGTTAGAAACATCCATGTTATTATGCTTTCTAAATGTCATTCCTGAAATATTTTGAGATTCAAGAAACTTTTTTGATGGAGTGCAAGGTGTGATTCTTGGAAGTACTGAGTATAGGTCTCAGAGTACCTCCATTGTCTTCTTCTGTTGAACAGTAATGTTTAATGTGATATCAAGGGCAAGTTATTAACAATTAAAAAATGATCACCTAAACTGTCTTAAATTAAATGCAGTTATTTTCCCATGAATCTGCCTACTTCACACAGGGCAACCCCTGGCAGGCTACTGAATAATATGTCTGACCCTTGTCTTGAAAAAGGTTGCACACCCATCTTACTTTGATATCTATTTTAAGTAATATTTTGTCTGATATTTTCATTATCAGAAATAATTTCAAAATAAGACTACGACAGACTTAAAATTGCTGCACGTAAACTAAAATAAATTTTAGTTTTTAAAAAATACATTTTCATACTTTCACAGTAAAACATCGCTATGTTTAAATTCATAAAGTTTTATGATGCAGACAATTAATGGCAAAAGAAAACAGAAAGGAAAGCATCCCAAATTTATGTTAAAAATTTACACGAGCAGATATTGTTTATGCTGGTGCTGAAAGTTATAATTTCAGTTCTAACCACAAATGAACTAGGAAGGAATTCCACAATCAGGTTCTAGTACAATGAATGTCCGGTTTAAGGTCACCACACTGGGAAGCAAAGCAAACATGACACCTTCAAAGTGGCTTCTCTGCTAGATTTTTAAATCACAGGCACTTAGAGAAAAGGTGCTCTGCCAGGCTCCTGATTGTGTCCAATCCTATGTTAGTTGGAAAGAGAACACAGTGATCTTTTGTGCATTATATTTCTTTAATGTATTTGGCACTGAAGACATTTCTTGTGGATTATGTGCTCAGGAACATAAAACATTGTAAGAAGTTGTTGACATTTAAGTGATGCTAGGATTCATCATGCCTTTTATGACTGCCTCATCAAATTGCTTAGGGCCATTTATAGTAGTAGAAGTTGGGAAAAAAATGAAAGAAGACTGCCCATTTCCATTAGTATTCTTTTGACTCATGAAAATACTGCTGAGGCAAAATAGTTTTTTTTTTTTAAAGAAATCCTGGATAGTCAGAGAAAATAAAAAAGCACTTTTTTGGCTTTGCTCTTATGAAAAGTATGAATAAGTTTTAAGAGGAAGCCCATTACAAGTGGGAAGGATAATCCAAAACTTGTATACATGAACAATTATTGCTATTTAATGGAAGACTAATGTGGAGATGTCTATTCTGTGTATGCACACATGTCTATGTATGTCCACTTTATTCCCCTCTTCCCAATATGACCAGATTTTGATATATCCGCAGTACATGCAAACAGACTAGAAAGGGTTTATGCTAAAAATTTGCAGTAGTTCAAAACACTTTTTAAAAATACACCTTCCTATCTGGGTTGCAAATATCTAGTGGATAGATATTTTGCTAGTGGATAGCAAAGAGACATTTTGCAACTATTTAAAAAAGTGACTTATAACCAGTCCTTATAATGAGCATCCCATCATATGATCAAAATTCAGGTATTTGACAACCAGCATGTATTTATGATGCTTACATTGTCCTGGGATTGTGTAATCACCATTTGCAAACTTCCCAGCTGACTTCTGACAAGCAAAGTCAATGGGAGGAAGCTGGATAATGTCTGTGTGATTCACTTAAACTGCAATGATTTGCCTAAGAACTGAGACAAAAAAGTTCAGAAAATTGGCAACCCACTTAACAACCACCTTGCTTAGCAATGGAAATTCTGGTTCCAATTGAGGTTGTAAGTTGAGGCCTATCTGTGAACAGAAAACAATAAAGCGGGCATTCTCATGGGCCCAAACTCTTAACTAAATGTTGAAAAGGGAAAAATTTGAAAAATGAGAAACAAAAAAATGAAGCAAAGAAAAAGGGCATTGTGGGTTGGCCAGATCCTGAATAAACATTCAATACTGCAATATTTTGTTGCAGGTTCTATTGGATCCAAGCACTCTCTCATGTTCTTCATCTATTCTAAGCCAATGTTTTTCAAACTTGGCAACTTTAAGATGTATGGACCTCAGCATGTTGATTGAGGAATTCTGGAAGTTGAAGTTCACATATCTTAAAAGTTACAAGTTTAAGAAACATTGATCTGAGGCAACCAAGAAATTCAGAGTGGAAGAACTATGCAAGTATTAATTCTTAATGCTAAGGATAATTGGGACTGAGCAGGTGAATTATTTGCTTTTGACAGATTAAATGAATTGTTCAAATCAATTAATATAGAAAGAAAAGCAGCACAATTATGGCCTTAGTGTATACTTGTATAGCCAGTGCACATTTTATTCATAAGCTCACCATTTTTGCTCTAATACTAAATATATATTGTAGTAAATAATATTTTTCCCTTCTTCTCTTTGAACCAAACAGTTATTTGAATACCAGCCATAGTTTGAAGTTTCTGGTAAAAAGTCAGACAGTAGAAAACCTTATCTTGGTCCACTATTCAATAATCTTCTAACAAATGCTTCTAATTTCCTTCTAGATTTTTGCTGCTAAGGCTATTTCAATATTATAAAGCTAACGTGTTTAGAATCCTTTGCCATCTGAAAAATATGCTTGTTGGCATTCATTGTGGAATTTTCCTCAAGTCCTATTAACCAACTTCAATCTGAACTATTTAAAGGCTACATCAGAAATGTGTATTGCTATTAATTTCACACTTGGCTAAAAATCAGAATTTCTGATAAAACCTTACACAAAGCTTTCTATTTATCAGTGAAGCATGCCTATTTATTCCTATAACCATAAAAGAACTTTTGTTTAAGTTCTCTTTTAGTTTTTCTGTCTACATCTTTAACCTTTGCTAAAAAAGAAACTGATATTTTCAACTATTACTCATAAACAATAAATACATTAAAATACTGTTCTATCTATTAAATGCAGGCAACAAGTAAAACACCAATTAAATATTTTGTAGAAAGCTTAAGTCACACAAACAATACTTTCTTGGATTTAACAGTAGACCATTAAAATCTAGCATGTAAGATTGCTCTCTTCAGAGTCACATATACATTAGAAGTAATTTATTCAGACTGAATTTAAATGGACAAATAAGTCAAATTTATCTTTCTAAGTGGATAAAGCTGAGGAATCTGGAGGGAAGCACCGGTGCATAAAAATGGAACTTGTATAATTATACAACCCAAGGCAATATAACATGGTAGACTAGAATCTGATCATGTTGTTATGACATACATCCTTATGTCATTTTAACTGCGTTGATCTGGCTTCAGACAATACAGCAAAATGAGCAAATATATCTATATTTATAAAAAAAATCTGTATCTCTCTCTTATTCTTTGAAAGAGAATTTGCTTACAATTTCTTATAGATGGAATGTGTAATGAATTTCCAACAGCTATTTACTGTATTTAGCCAAAAGATAGGAAACTCTAAATTTAAAATACTATCCGCTCTCCCAAAAAATAATATTTTGAGTGTATGTATATACACACAGAGATGACAAAATTTCTGTACAGTATAATCCCAATTTCTGTTCTTTCAACCCAGCTGAAACCAATTCTAAGTATTTCTCTCCCCTCTGCAATAAATGTGTACTCATGATATATTTATACATGCACTTGTGTATAGATAATTTAAAGAAGCCATATGTTCTTTAAAAGGTGGGATGAGGACAAGAATAAATTCATATTAATTGAATTAATAGTTTTATAAAAAAATAATTGGTTCCAAAATTAGGGACTACAACTTCCTCATTGTTTCTCACAGAAATAACAAGAAAGAAAAAAGATAATCAGGAAATGGGATCAATGAGGTAAAAGGGTAGCTGCCCTGGGAAAGGATGAAAAGAGAAAGAGGGGGGCAAATCTGGATGGTGATGAGACCATGGAAAGAAATAACTGGCCAGAGATGGAAAGAAAAGGGAAAGAAGTCTTGTTATGCATTACAGAAAAAGTTAAATTCACCAGGTAGGCAGTCCTATCGAACAAGAGGATACAGGGAAATCTTCACAGACACCATGCTTTTCACCTACACCTACAGCTGTTCCTGCTTTCCCTTCCCAACAGTTCTTTTATTCTTCCCACCAAATGTAAGGGTTCCTCTTCTATTCACAGGAAATTCCAGGAAAACCTGAACCACTACAGAAAGAACAAGGCATCCCCATTTCAATTCTTAGGAAGCATAAATGAGCCCTTAAGCTATAATAGAAATTAATAATCTTTTGGTTACTGAGGTGCACTTAACATTTAGGAAAAGCCATAAATAAAGTACTGATGTACATAGGTTGAATTGGGATTTTTGTTCTTTTAAGCTTTGGGAAAGCTTGCAATACAATTAATGTGTTTTTCTCAAAAAACCACTCAGAAAACCAAACTATCCAAATGTACTCAAAGGAAGCTTAGGAGCTGCATCTGGACAGGTTTTGCCCTCATGATCATGGTGGGGTGTGTGGAGAAAGGCACATTAGCGAAAGGTTCTACTTCTGACTGATTCTAGATGCTTCTGTTTCTCAAAGACTGAGAATTCCATTTCCCTAGTTTTATTCTATCAGCTACAAAATATACTGTGTCCTAGATCAAAGATCCCCAACCCCGGTCTGTGGACCTGCACCAGTCCGCAGCATGCCAGAAACCGGTTCACACAAACAAGCGAAGCCCCATCCACAGGATGCAGGCAGCACATGAAACCACACCCCCTATGGGCTGTGAGAAAAGCTCTCTCCACAGAACCAGTCCCTGGTGCCCAAAAAGTTGGGCGCTACTGCCCTAGAGGTTAACTAATCCAAAGCAGTTCTATGGTTTGAATATATAAATATGTCATAGCTGCAAGCCTCATTGTGCAAGGATAAATACAAATAATCAGGCACAGTGTTTATGTTAAGCATGTTAACTGGAACTGAGCTATTTGGTTAGGTTTACCAAAGCAGCTTAGAAATGTTTCCATTGCAATTGAATCTCCTTTCAACTCTTAAAAATACTGTACACTGTTATTTAATAATATATTGTTAGATCTTATGTGATCTCTTATCCCATTAGCTATGTCAATAAAGTTTCATTTAAAACTATGAATTTAAAATTTCATTTATAATAAAAGAAAATGTTTGAATAGTCAGTTGCTAAAATGGAAACATGTGATGCCCCCCAATAAGTACATAAGTTAATAATTTTCAGAGTTAAAAATATGACATTTATACTTGCCACATGCTTTTTGACTGTTTGTACTGAGTGAAAATTTTGTCTTTTCAACATAGTCTTTAGCAAAAGCTTATACAAATAAGCATGTTATTCTTCTTGTCTGATACCAGTTTATTGTTTTTGCATGTTCCACAAAGCACCACAATTGTTTGCCAATTAGTTAGGTCACCCCAGTTTTGCTAGGGGAACTCCATTACCACTATTACCACAGCAACAAAAATGCATAAATATCAAGTAAACAAAATGACAATTTGGCTAGTCATTTTAAAAATATTGTTCTCTATTTTTTTTGTTTGGTAAGCCATTTACTATTGGGAACAAATATTATAAAGGAAGAAGTCTCATTATACAATAGGATAAGAAGGGTAAATATTTCTCCATCATCAATCATCTTCAGAACTAGAATCGTCTTCCTGATCAGAAAGTTCTGCAACAGGAAAACGCAGAATAGCAGCTACACCTGTCAGTTGTCCAAGCTGTTCCCCAGATACATGAAGGCTAGAGAAGATGCGAACTGTGCCCATATTCTCACGCACACTATCTACAAGCCGGACATATCGACTACGAGTAGCCACATCCTGATGCCTAAAAAGTTCATCGCTGATCAATAGAGTATCAATAGCCATTGCTTCATTAGCCTTTTCCACATGTTTGAGACCATAAAAGGCCCGATCAGGCTCATGTTGTAGCATTTTGTAGAAATCATCTAAAGCTTTGACTTCACCAGCTGCTTTGGTATCAGCAAGTCGACTAGTCACAGCTGGGTCACAAAGAGCTTCTTTCAGTGCGTACTTATGTCCAGATGATGAATGCACCTAGAATATGAAAAATAATAAAAAATATGTAGCATCTACTATGTTAATTAGTTTCTTTTGGAAACTGAATTCCCAGGAACAAGTACAGGAACAAGAACAAGTTGACTTACAATCAGTCATTTAGTAATCATTCAAAATTACAATGGCACTGAAAAAAGTGACTTACTACCATTCCTTGCACTTATGATTGTCACAGGATCCCTGATGGACACATGATCAAAATGTGGGTGTTTGGCAATTGACATGTATTTATGATGGTTAAATGAGCCCATGTGATCATCATCTGCAACTTTCCCAGCCAGCTTCCAACAAGCAAAGTCAATGGGGGAAGTCAGATTCACTTAACAATCACATGATTTACTTAATAATTGCAGTGATTTTGCTTAACAAAGGTAATAAAATTGCTCACATAACTGCATTGCTTAGCAATGGAAATTTGGTGCCAATTGTGCTTATCAGTCAAAAGCTACCTGTAAAAGTTTTTAAAATATATGGAAAACATTCTTATATATTTTTCTTACCTGGGGAAAACAATTTATCAATTTGAAAACAAAAACTGGCAGATCATTCAAAAAGACAATCCAGTAGCCCTCGACTTACAACCGCAATTGAGCCCAAAATTTCCATTGCTAAGTAAAACAGTTGTTAAATGAGTTTTGCCCCATTTTATGATATTTCTTGCCACAGTTATTAAGTGAATCACTGCACTTGTTAAGTTGTAACATGGCTGTTAAATGAATCTGATTTCTCCATTGATTTTGGTTGTCAGAAGATTGTAAAAGGTGATCACATGCCAAAGAGACACTACAACCATCATAACACATGCCCGTTGTCAAGTGTCTGAATTTTGATTATCTGACCATAGGGATGTTGTGGTTGTAAGTGTGAAAAATGATCGTCAATTTTTCAGTGCCATTGTAACTTTGAACAGTCACTAAATGAATGGTTGTACATCGAGGACTAACTGTATATACAACTGCTGAAAAACTACAAGAATACAATGTCTTATTCGGATTTTGCTCTGAGGTTACTTTTGTCAGCCAGAAGTATTGTATTAAGTATATTAACTGGGAAATATGTCTAGTTGAACTTTATAGGTGTGCTTTTGCATAGATAAGAATCAAGCTCCATATCCCTTCATAAACTACATATTCATCTCAAACCAGTTCTTATTTGTTTTATAATAAACTAGTAGATATGTCAAACTCGCGACGTCACATGATGTCGTGCAACATATCGGGATGGTTTTACCATTGCTGGCAATAGGGTGGATGTGTCTGGCCTGCAGGCTGGCAGTTTGATACCCCTGAACTAGTAAAACAATGAATCATGCTCTCATTAAACAGCTTATCTTGAGAAAGAATCTCAAGGAGAAAAATAGGAATCAACATCTATAAAGGAGCTAAGATTGCATGTACAGGTAGTCCTGGACTTACAACAGTATCTTTAGCGACTGTTCAAAGTTACGACAGGACTGAAAAAGTAACTTAAGACTGTTTTTCACACTTACAACTGTTGCAGCAACCCCATGGTCATGTGATCAAGCTTCAGGTGCTTGGCAACTGGTTCATATTTATGACGGTTGCAGTGTCCTGGGATCATGTGATCAGCTTTTGCGACCTTCTGACAAACAATGTCAGTGGGGAAGCCAGGTTCACCTAACAACCATATTACTACCTTAACTACAATGATTGACTTAACAATTGTGGCAAGGAAAGTCGTAAAATGGGGCAAAACTCACTTAACAAATGTTTCATTTAGCAACATAAATGTTGGGCTCAGCTGTAGTCGTAAAGTGAGGACCACCTATCCATTGTATAGTTTAAATCAGAGCAAACACATTCAATTAAACATACATATTAGGGCTTCACTGTAAAATTGTTTTATTTAGCTTAAATATTAGGCCATTCTTTTCATAAACCTATGTTTATAGATTGGGGATTATGACCTAGGAGAGACAGCAACCCCCCTCCCTTTCAATAAAAAAATCAATCAGAAATAAACACAGGTAGGCCTCTCATAGATAAATTTCATAAACCTGACTGCACTAACAATATTTATAGGCCCATTCATCCTTCTAAAGGGCCTTTTTTTAGTTCATAGATAAATTATGGCAGATTTAGGTGATCCAAATTTCAGTATAAGTGTCATTAAAATTACATAGAAAATTACATTTTTTTAAAAAAATTACATGGTTAGATATTTTACATCTCCCTTTTCTATATACCACACAATTCCAGTGCATGGCTAAAGATCACTGAAGCTGATGGTATGAAGCACATTAATTTCTAATTACCTGTAAGAATTTGGAGCGATTCTCCAACAACAACTTGTTGTCGGTCTTGACAGCCTGCTGGAACATGTAGTCGCAGAACTGCTCTCTCACGAACCCCGGGCTGGCCACCAGGACACACTTGACCACTTCGAAGTTAAGGTGGCGCTGAATGGCCTGCATCACTTGCTCGTAGAACCGCTCCAGGGCCCGGTCGTGCTGGGAGCAGTTCCCTCGGCGCTTTCGAGGGATGTTCACCTCGATCTTGGCCCGGGTCAGCGTCATACTGGGGGTGACGAGGCAGACGTGGGCCAACCCTTCCTGCATCACCACGGCGGCCAGGTCGGCGCTCCAGGCCGGGTCGCAAGCTTGCTCGATCCGCTCCAGCACCACGCTGTCCCATTGCTTCTTGGCCAGCGTGAACTGCCGGTTGGGCTCCAACTCGATGGTGTGATACGCGCCCATCTTGACGTACTCGTTCTCCTGGATGTTGGTGCCTTTGACGCGCAACTGGCAGGCCTGCGAGTCGAAGTCGATGGTCTCCACACACAGGGTGAGCGTGGTGCGGATACGGTTGCTGCCCACGCTGCCCGTGGACGACTCCGTCTGCACCTTTCGGATGGTGGAGGCCCGCAGGCTGTCGCCCACCTGCAGCAGGTTGTAGGCGTGCCATATATCTTCGGCGTCCTCGGGCATGAGCGTCACTTGCCCGGCGTTATCCTTCTCGATGTCTTTCCGCAACAGCTTCATCGTGGCTCCAGCGGCCGCAGCCCGGGATCAGCCGCCTCCTCTCTTCTCGGCCTGCAGGAGCCGGCGCTCGGCCCTGCTGATCGACCCAGCGACCAGCCTCGGGACTCAGCAACGACCGACCCGGGGCGGGCAATGCTGCGGGCGGGCGGAGCGCTAACAAGCCGCGGGCTTGGATTGCTTCTGGGCGCTTCGGCTAGGCTCCTCTCAGCCCCTCGTTGAATGGCTGGCGTGGAGAGAAGCCATAGCCAAGGGATGGGAAGCGTCTCGGAGAAGGAGGAGGAACAGGCCGGGTCCCGGGCGGAGCGTATACGTGACAAGAGTCCTGAAGGGGAGTGCCGGGACACAAGGCAAAGGCTGGTTGGCTGCCGGCGTGCTCTGCTGCTGGGCTCTACCCGCGAGAACTGCGGGAGGGAAGAGCTTCCCTTCGTCCGCTGACGTGATTAAGCCGTATTCCGTTAGGGAGAGAGGCTGGGGCCTTGGGTGGCGGCGGAGGCGTAACTGCCGGTGACTTCCCGCCCAAGTAACATTTAAAAGCCCACGTCGTAATGTGGATTTCATGCATCTTGCGCTTCGTTGTCTCTGCAAGCCTTTGATTTGAAACAAAAAAGAGGCTTTGGGGACGTAAAGATAAGCAAATGAATCGGTTTTAATCTTACAACACGGTTACTCAGGTCAGCTGAAGCCTGGTTTACTTAACTGCCCCATTTTCCGATGCTCGCTTCTGCTAATACAGTAACCGGCTTCTTTAAGGGGTACTTAACCAGGTTGGGAGTTGGTGTGATCCGTGAACAGCCATTCTGGCCCAGGTTTTTAGGGAGTTTGTGCTCTGAGGTTCATTTCTGTTTCCCATATGAGGTGCAGAGGATCAGAAGACGGAGAGGCTCAGTACAATAAAAACAATATTTTAAAATGCAACATAGAATCATTTTAATATTGTAAGCATCTTTCCCCACCCATTTTCATTAATTGGACTCAAGTGCTTTGAGGAGCAACATGTTGGCATGGGATTCAGTGAGAAATGTTGGATGGGTGTGGGATTAAATGATCATTTGCCATGCTCAAGGAACTTATTGATCAGGGCACAGTACTGCCTAAGGCCCAAATGGAAGTTAGTAGGTAGTCATTTGAAGGAGCATATTTCTAGGAAAATGATTTTAAAGTAATCAGACATTCCATCACATAACTCCCGCTATGCTCAGATGGAAATTGAGAGTCATCTTCTCTACCACAGCATTAGGGTAGTACATATTTTATGTGTTAGTTTTAAACTGGAAAACTAGTCTTGGAAAGCAAATGAGGATTTTCTATGAAAATCCTTACTGATATTCAACATTATTATTCATTATTATTATTCAGGAAGAAAAGTCATTACAGGGGAAACAGATCCACAACTTTTTAATTTGAGCAAATTTAAGAGGGAAAAAAGCCTTTATGCCATAAGAATAATGGAATGCATTGAATTTCTAATTATATATAAATTGCTTTTATATGGTTCTGTTGGTTATGGTTTCAGACTTCCACAAGAAATTAATGTGATTCATTGCCCTTCCCTTTGATGTAACAGAGCAAGATCCAAAATTAAAACCTATAATTAATAGTGTCTACGCCAATGCAGTGTATATATTTTTCCAGTTAACGCAAACTGAGGTAATCTCTGATGGGAGCATGATAACTGAGTATAGAAATATATGAAAAAGAAATATATTTCTTAACTATATAGAAATACTGCACTTAAATTTTCATGTTAGTTTGTTAAGATGAATGAACCTGTTGAAAATCTTTGAATTTTGTATGAATTTAGCAATCTAATCACTAGTCCAGTGGTTCTCAACCTTTTTAATGCCGCGACCCCCAATCTGTCGTAAGTCGAGGACTACTCAACCGGTTGTAAGTCGAGGACTACTCAACTGGTGCAGCACTGTTTGCAGAATGGGACTTTTGGCGGGCTCAGCAGGGCAGAGACAGCCTGGACAATTCCTATTGGCTTTTGAAAGCCAATAGAATTAGACTCTATTCAAGAGAGTCTATTCTATTGGCTTTCAAAAGCCAATAGAATAAAAGGGAGTAGCACAGCTAAGGAAAAGGGGAAAAAAATGGCGGACTGTGTTGTTGGGCGACCCCCGTGAAATGGTCGTTCGACCCCACAGGTTGAGAACCACTGCACTAGTCCTATTCATATTGTTGGATTCAGTTTTTACTGGTCTTTATATAAAGGGATGATGCAAACACGGTGCCAGAAAAATCTTCTGGCATTCTCTATTTTCAGGATATTTCATGACAATACATGCCTTATTCTAAATAGCATCTGGTCAGACAGCTATTTGAACTATTCTATTGTTACAATTTTAATATTTACCCAACATCTGAAAAAGATGTATCAACAGCTTTATGTAAGGGCAGAACATCATATGAAATCAACTAGATACTGTTCTTATTACTTTGGCCAGTTGCTACCAATGTGTTTAGTGCTTTTTCTTCAAGCCTTCAGTCTGGAAAGCCTTACACGGGCATTGGGTAGCAATAGGAATGTGTTGGATTATGATTCTGTAAGTTATGTATCTAGCTTGTTGACCTTGCTTCCTTACATAGTTCTAATATGTCAGAGATGATTTACAATACCAGTGTTTATTGAAAGCTTTAACCAGACTGTATATTATAGGAAATGTACTGGGCATTATTTCTGTGATTTTATTTACCAAATGAATGATACATAATGAGAGTGATGTTTAGATTTACTTTTACTATCATTGGGACTCAAACTTTTCATTGGTTGCTTCGTCTTTCTAACTTTCTGTTCTATGAATTTGGGTTGCTTCAGAACAAGAACAGACAATCAACTCCTGAAATCTGATACCATATTTACAGGAAGAAAGCTTTGTTAGAAAGCTACAAGCCTATTTATTCTTCTGTGGGGTAATTTAATTATTCAGGAAGTTAGGGATATAGAGGAAAGGTGTGCTCTGTTTGTATGAAGAGGAAAAGAGAGAAAAGCAGCCAGAATTTCTATTGTATAATTCTTTGAGGAAGCAGAGTTAAAATCAGTATTGCTATACAGGTCCAAATCATGCCTGTGATAGAAAACCTCCAGAGCATTAGCTGTTACTAAATATTCTTGAGCTCTGGCATGATCGCTTTTTATATGCTGTGCATTTTCAGAGGGGTCTTTTTTGTCACAAGTAAGCATTTAGCATTAATATTAATACTTTTACTACTTACTACACATGAATGTCTTTATAGTGTGTCTTTATATATTAGATTCTAGGCATATGGTGCCAATTAGTAATAGTGCAATTGCGGTACCTGATTTTATAACAGCTGAAGCTCCATGGTTTCCTGTTTTTTATTTTTTTAATTCTTTTAAATAAACCTAAACGTGTGGAAACAAGCATATTGCAAATTTTATTTATTTATTTATTTATTTTTAAAATTTATAAGCCGCCCCACTCCCGAAGAACTCTGGGCGGCTAACAATAAAAAACACATAAAACATAACAAAACAACAATACAAAAACAATCATCCAGGGGTAAGGTTTTATAAACCCCAGGCCTGCTGGAAAAGCCAGGTCTTAAGTAGCTTACGGAAGACCAACAGGATGGGAGCAGTCCTAATCTCCGGGGGGAGCTGATTCCAAAGCGTGGGCGCCATCACAGAGAAGGCCCTCCTCCGCAGCCCCGCCAAATGGCACTGCTTGGCCGACGGGGCCTGAACGAGGCCCAGCCTGTGGGATCTAACCGGACGTAGGGAACTATGAGGTAGTAAGCGGTCTCGCAAATAGCCTGGCCCTGAGCCATATAGGGCTTTAAAGGTAATGACCAACACCTTGAATTGGACCCGGAGACCAATAGGCAACCAGTGCAGTTCACGGAGGATAGGTGTAACATGGGTGTATCGAGGAGCACCACTATCACTTGCGCGGCTGCATTCTGGACCAACTGTAGTCTCCGAATACTTTTCAAGGGTAGCCCCATGTAGAGCGCGTTGCAGTAGTCCAAACGTGAGGTGACAAGGGCGTGAGTGACTGTAAGGAGAGCCTCCCGGTCCAAGTAGGGTCGCAACTGGTGCAACAGGCGAACTTGTGCAAAGGTCCTCCCAGCCACAGCCGTCAATTGATGTTCCAAATTCAGCTGTGGATCAAGGAGGATGCCCAAGTTGCTAACCCGCTCCGAAGGGGGTATATTTTCCCCCACAAGAGTCAACACTGGACAGTCGACATGATCCTTGGGAGGCAACATCCAAAGCCACTTGGTCTTGTCAGGATTGAGCCTGAGTCTGTTAACCCCCATCCAGACCCTCACGGCTTCGAGGCAATGGCCCATCACATCGGCCGCTTCACTGAGAGAGCTTGGGGAGGAGATATATAACTGGGTATCATCAGCATACTGATGAAACCTCACCCCGTGCTGTCTGATGATCTCACCCAGCGGCTTCATATAAATGTTAAATAGGAGGGGAGAGAGGACTGACCCCTGTGGCACGCCGCATTCAAGGGGCCTCGGGGTTGACCTCTGCCCTCCCACCAATACCGATTGCGACCGGCCAGAGAGGTAGGAGGAGAACCACCGTAAAATGGTGCCTCCCACTCCCACCCCTTCGAGTCTTCGCAAAAGGATACCATGATTGATGGTATCGAAAGCCGCTGAGAGGTCAAGTAGCACCAAGACAGAGGAATAACCTCTGTCTCGGGCCCGCCAGAGATCATCCATCAGCGCGACCAAAGCGGTTTCTGTGCTGAAGCCGGGCCTGAAGCCAGATTGAAAAGGGTCTAGATAATCCGCTTCATCCAGAGACCGTCAGAGCTGGAGCGCCACCACTCTCTCTACAACCTTCCCCACAAAGGGGAGATTGGAGACTGGACGGAAGTTATTTAAATCAACCGGGTCCAGGGTAGGCTTCTTGAGCAGGGGCCTCACAACCGCCTCCTTCAGGGATTGTGGAAAAGACCCCTCCCTCAACGAAGCGTTGATCAACACCTGGAGCCAGCTTCGTGTCACCTCCTAGGCAGCCGAGACCAACCAGGAAGGACACGAGTCCAATAAACAAGTGGAGGCGCTCATTGCTCCCACCGCTCTGTCAACATCCTCAGCGGTCACAGACTCAAATTCATCCCATAAAACTGAGCTAAGACCTGCCCCAGTCATCTCAAAAGGCCCTGCCCAATCGGAGTCTAGGTCTGTCCGAATCCGAGCAATTTTGTCTGATAAGAATTGCACAAATTCCTCCGCTCTACCCTGATGCTTCAAAGCATCAACCTTCAGTATTATGTAGAAGAAT